CATGCCAGCATGAAACATAGAAGGTACTGTAGCCTTATGTATGCCATTCAGAGGGATCCTACCTTTCTCTACTATATCTCCTCTCCCTCCTTCTTCCCCTTACCCTCATTTCTGCTGGCTAAACATTTTGTGTACAGCCGATGTCTTTCTTGTATGTATGTATTAGAGCATTGAAAACCTTCTTAATATACGTTCCTTGTATCTTTTGCTCTAAGAAATAATTTATATCTTTCACACTTTTAAATTTACATATATTACTGTTATCAGTGTCTGTGCTCGTTTTATGTTTAATGAATAAGTACAATGTCTCTTTCATTGTTAAATTTGATTTTTCTATTGTGCACTTTGTTCTCATCTCGACACGAGAAGTTGATGGTGTGGTAAGCAAGAAACACCTCGCACCAGAGTCTGAGTCTGAATTAATTCCAGTGACATCTGCAAGTCATGATTTGTTTTCATTTTCTGATCGATTATTTCTACAACCCCATTCAAAATTATATTTTTGTTGACATATTTGTTCAATTTTTCTGGATTTTCCTGTATTAGACTCCAAAAAAAATATGCATTTTTGGAGTATAATACAGGAATCAAGTAATAAACAGACTAGAAAATTCCTTTTAGTAACCTTAAATTACAAATGGCCAATCACCACCTGCACTGTTTTTTCACCATGGTATCAGATGAGACAAAAGGGAAATTTGCCTTCCATGGGTATTTCTTTTGGCAATTTTAGGAAAATAAATATCGGGTTAATTAAGAGGTTTTTTAAACCAAAATACCAGTAAAAAAATTAATTATCAGTAATGCAATCACTAGTCTACAATGAAGACAGCAGGTGAGAGATATGGTTTGACATATTTAGGTGGTCAACGCATCCAAGAAAATTTCTGAACTTCCCCAGAGCAACAACAGACTGAGAGAAAATGAATTGTGCACCACTGTGTGTGTGTGTGTGTGTGTGTGTGTGTGTGTGTGTGTGTGCGTTTGCGCGTGTATTACATACACCTTTTTTAGAAAATATTTTTTGAAAACTAAATTTATATTCAAAGGTAACAAATCTATAAATACAACTTAAATAGCTTTGCCAATATATAAAATAATATACACAGAGATGTCAAAGTAAGAAATGTGGCACTAATAAATTTAGAGATTATACCTCATGACTTTTTCTAATCAGGAAATTTAAGACAAATACACATTTGGATGTTAATAACTGGATAAGCAAACCAATGATAGTCTTTTTCAAATGTAATAGGCTATATCATTGATTTGCTTATCCAGCTGTATTAAACTCTCTCTCCACCCAAGTATGCATTTGCCTTTTAGAAATAATTCTACAACCTTTAAAATTCTTGTGACCTAGATTATGAATTTCTAGTATAAAGCAATGTATATATTAGGAATATTCCAGGTGTTTAAATTTGCAATGGAGAATATTGTTTATTATGGAATTTTACAGTATTTTCTATCACAGTAGAATCCCAATTACCTGAGGTAATGTAGTCCAATTCTACCTCAGATGAAATGTATGGCCACAACCATTCTGAAATAACTTATAAAATTTTTAGATATAAATGAATTTAAGAAGTATTGTTCTTACATATGATTAGCTATATAACAAATGATTTAATGTGTACAATAGTTTTAAGAATAGAAATTTATGATGATGTTTTCTTATGAAATGGTTTGTTTCACAATAAAATAAAAATATATCATTTTAACAGAAACAAATCATTACAGAAAATTTAAGAGTTTCTTGTTTTAAATGGACATATTATATATGTTTATACAGTAATACCTCGGTTTTTGTCGATTTTTTTCTGCAAAAAATTTATCTCTGTTTTTGTCAGTTGCCTCAGATTTCATCAGCATGCCCATGTGACCTCGCTGCTAATTTTGTGAAAATAAAGGGAACCCACACATTTTCCTGCTCAGTGTGGCATTGTGAACATTATTCTGCATGTCTAGCCAATTTCATTGTTTCCTTTCAGCTCCATCATGGGAGCAAAGAAAGTTTCCAGAGCCAGCAGCCCTTTGAATGCCATGTTAAATGTTCATTTATTCTTTACATTAATATAAAATGAATATAAAAGATTAATTTCTTATTGCTTTTACTATTAAACAATGTTAAATCTCTATAAAATGTGTTTTTGGTATGTATTTTGAAGTGTCTAGAATGAATTAATTCGATTTACATTGAATCGTATGGAAATAATTGCCTCGGTTTTCATTGGTTTTGGATGGATTATTGACAAAAACCGAGGTATTAGTGTATTTTCAATCATTCCAATATGCATTAAAACAAAATACTTTTTTTATATATTACAGTATAATAGAAGCCAGATTTGATTAGTATTTTAATTTTATATAGAGAAGAAGATTTGTTGGATATGGCACCATTCCTTAAAACAAATTCAAGACTTGGTAAGTACAGCAATAATTCTTAACATGTCAAAAATTATTTGCTAAGTGCTACTCAAAATAATTTTATAGGTTGCCAGATAATATTAAAAAAAGAACTAGAAGGAATAATCTTTACTCTTCCACAGGCAACAAGAAATTTTTATGTTGATGGCCATAAACCACAACCTCATTAAAACAGAGTATTTAATATTATATTTCTAGACCAAATTAATTATATTGTAAATAAAATGTTATTTAATAAAACTTTGTTTTATTTTCGTTAAATTTGATGTTATTGTTGATGGTAATTAAATTATTTTTGTCACATTTATTATTTGAGTAAGTGAAATGAACAAAGGACCATAACTATAAATCTGATCAAACTCTAGAATGAAATATATTTGTCATCATCATAATGATCTGTTTATTATTACTAATTTGACTGCATATAATTACATATATAAAAAAAATTCTTCAGAAGTTAAATTTGAAAAAGTTTGAATCTCCATTCTAAAGATATAATCCTTGTTTGGTGGCCAAAAGCTCTAAACCAGTATTGTTTAAGTTGAATTGAAATAAAATATTTTTCAGGTATAGTAGGGTATTGTTATATTCAGAACCATTTGCCATCCATATGGTTTCGTGGATGGTGAATGCTTAGGTGTACTGACTCCTTGTGCCTCTGAATCTGATTCAAATCCTCTAGCTTCTGACATTCCAAGTGATTCTATTCACTGTGGTGAATACCCTGGTTTACATGTATTTTCAACAAGATCAATGATGTCATTTGAAATAACTGAATATCTTATATAGAGAGAAGCTTTTCTAAATTAATAGAATATGGCTTAATGTGAAAAATTAAATCTAGTCTTTTTCATAAAATTATACTTTATTCACACAGATATAATATTAAATTTAAAGCAAATCTTTATAGTGTTAAAATATTAGTAAATAAAATCGTTTTTACTCAGATAAAAATAAAATTTTTTAATTTTTTATAAAGCAACAATAAAAGCTTCCCTATGCAGAAAAATTACAATAGAGCTACACCAACTGCTATATAATATCGGGCTATATACAGGCAATAATAATTTTGAATTGCTAATTAATTTGTCTCTCAGTAATTCAAAATTATTATCACCGATATCATACGGCAGTTGGTGTAGCTTTATTGTAATGTATTGGGTTTTGTGGGATGTTTATACTGTATTTGTAAAAAATACAATACCAGTTATTGCAAAGTGAACATTATTAAATATTGATAATAAAATGGTTTATAATCTAGTACTTAATTTTCATAAATACTATTATTAAATTTGATTTTAATTCTCACAAAATGTTTTGTTTTCATATTATTAAAAAAAAAATTGAATGTAAGTAAAATTTATTTCATCACAAGTATGAGCAGTTTATTTTTTAATATTTCAACAAGAATGTCCAAAAAAAACTCTCTCATCCAAAATCTTATGCCAACTTAATTCAAAATTCAATTGCTACATTATAGAGATTTTATTAAATAACTTACTTACATTAGTAATCATTACAAACTGAAATTTTAATACATTTATTATTTAAAATTTGGATGTGTAAAATATTACTCATATTTGTGATTTGTATTTGATTTTATAAAATAATATGTTATATATCTACATTTTACATATCTTTTCAAACAGCTGCTAAATCAAGTAGCTGTTTGTACCAATATATTTATGTGAGGTTAACAAGTTATTTATTATAATAAAGAATATTTATTGAAAGAATAATAAGAAAGAATTAATGTAAAAAGGCAACAGAATTATTTCATAACTAGCTAAAGTACCCAGCGATGCTCAGGTCATCTTAAGAAAACATCAAACAGGTTAAGAAAACCACTTATAGTTTTTAAAACATTGGTACACATGGTAATTAGAGACTATTTTATTGGGACAGGATTAAAATAAAAACAATGAAATTCATTGCATTGCAATAGAAACAATTATTTGATGTATATAATTTAGTTAAGTAAAACATATCTTTGTATACCCTTGTTCTTTCATATTTTACAGAAATATATTATTCACAGAGGTTAAACAACTCTCTCTCAAATTACAAAGTTTTTAACCAGTTGCACATTATTTAGAACATGTTCTTAGTAATGTCAGATTTGTTTGCTAAAATGAAGTTTTATTTCAAAGAAATTTATAGGTTTTTGTGAATTTTTCTATAAAGTATAATGGTTTGGTAGGAAAGTATATAAATAAATATATTTTTTTTATTTGAAAAACTTAAAAAATAAAAATGACACCCAAACAGAACACTGCCATAAACACAAACTTACAAATTTTCTCTTGTTTATTAGATTTCATACTAATGTCCAAATTTTGTGATTCTATGCCATCCTCACACAAGATGGAGAGCTATTAGCCTGAGCTACTCCATCTTTTGTTTATGATTCTAGAGGTAATTTAGAATCTGCATGTATCAGGTAATGAAGAGAAATGTTCCATGATGTTTTCACTGTAACTATCATTTCAAACCTCTATATTAATTTTTTCTATCATCTTGTACAGTTTGCATTTTATCTTTTATTTTTAACTAAATATTAATAAACTATCTTCTATAAAACAAAATTTTTTTTATTTAAATTACTTTCTGTCATACAAGTCAAAAAAGCAATGTTTTACAAAAGAAATCGGCAAAATATCAGTGCTATAAACTTAATATATTCCATCAACTATCAGTGCTTTGGTCTTTTCTTTTTTTACCTTGCATCACAGATGCAATATACAGTATACACTCAATGTATATACACAACAAAAGACAACTATAACACTGACAATATATCTCGAAATTTCTCCATGAAATGGAAACTATTTACAATCCCAACAATATACATATATTTATAACTCTGTTCCCAGCATAAATTTAGAAATATATAGATGTTTATATATTTCTTCTTATGTGATGACGAATATCAAGGTTCACGTAATTTTCCTTTACCAAACAGGAATAGGCACACCCTGTCAACAATCAAGGATAAAAATAAATCTATGGCTAAAGTCCGTAATATGATCCTCTGGAACTGGGGGAAAGAGAAATTATTTTTAGTATGTAAATTTTTCATTTTCTGTTATTTAAATAACAAATATTAAATACTTACATCGGGAGGGAATTCAACTATTTCAAATTTATTGGCAAAATCTGGAAATAACCCTATTACCAATGTAACAATGGCTAAACCCGAGCCAATAAGACTGTACAAAAGTGGTCGATTTTCCACTAAACTTTCCATGAATGGATGGCCCTAGGTTTAAATATTTTAATTTTAATGAAACTTGAAATGTTCTTATCAATTTTTAATACTAACTGATTCCTCAAAGGTAAAATCATTAAGAAATGCAATTTAATATTTACAAATTCAGTATTTAACATAAGACTTTCTTTCAGGAGTCAAAATTCTTTTTAGAAGTAAATATGTTGTCTTTGTTTGAAAATACCAGACTATTAACAGAGAAATCTCAATAAAAAAATGACTGTTTGATGATGTTTGAGATATTTCAAAATTAAAACTGTTGTTAATATTATTGCCAGTAAATTGTTGATATACTGAGATTGGCAAGGCTGTTTAAACATTAAGAATGAAGTCTAAAGGTGTTCTTGACATTTGATTTTAACAATTTTGTATAATTTCCAGTATTTTAAATCTGTTATAGGTTGATGTCTGTGATCCTTCTAAAAAGTAATAATTAACTAATCTTAACCATTACTTTTCAGAAGAAATTTCTCACTCTTCAGCAAAACGGGACAGAAATAAAGAGTTTAGGCTAATAGAAAGATTGCTATTGAACATGGTTACCCAAATAATGTAGTAAATGGCATTACTAAGATGAATAACATTCAGAATAAACAAAAGCCCTAGTACAGGGTACAGGTAAATCAGTAGCAGCAATGGTTGCTTCTTATGTCAGAAAAGCAGGTTACATGTTAGAAGTTAATATGCACATAATTGATGGATATCTTTTAAGAAATGGAAAAAAAAAACAAATATGCTATCTACATCAGAAGTGTACACTTTAAGACTCTAGGTACAATGAATTCTACTTTTACCTTGGTTCAACAATCAAACAGTGATGAAAACTTTTAAAGAATCATAATAATATGATTACCTCTCTCATGTAATGGGCTTGACAAAAAGGTTACAAATGCACTGAAACAAGCCAGCCCTTACTGAAGAAAGTAGATAAAAAAAAAGTACTATCAGAATCTCAGAGCAAATAGAATATAAATGTATATTTAATCTATTTAAAAAGATCAAGGCCATCCAAAGAAGCAAAAGTTATGATAGCTGGAAGTCATTTCTTTATATCTATTTTGTCTAATACTGTGTCAGCAGGTTCTTAAAGGAAACAGAATAAATTTGACAGGCAAGCAGTTTTAATGTTCCTAACTTACTAGTTTTAAAGTTTAAGTTTTAATATTATTTTTAATTACTTATATCAATATTTTTACCAATATTACTTTTAATTGTTAAAGCTTAAAAATTTTGAAATTTTGAAATTTTACATTAATAATAAATAATAATAATCAAATTTTAGTAGTTCAGTATTCTAATATGTAAAAGTAGGTAATGTTCTAAAACTTAATTTAAATGTTTTTGTTCTGGTTAAAGCTTGTTCTATAACATAATTTAAACAATTTATTCCTCTTAGTTCAAAAGCCTGTTATTCTATGTTCCATTTTGATTTAAACTGTTCTTAACTGAAAATGAATAAATATTAATTATGGTTACCAACTAAGGTGCAAAGTTTTGCAAATCTTTAAAACATTAGTTAAGTTTTGATTTATTGAATTTAGACTCCTGTAAGGAAAGCCTACTATACTTGGTGTACAGTATGCAAAAGGAATTGCTTAGAAAATTGATTAAATATTTAATATATAAAAATTGTAATTCTGATAAGTAAACCATATTTTTCTTGCCAGTGTTTTCTTACATGTATTATTAACACTTACCCTATAATTTATGGCAAATGTAGAGATCTGCAAAGCCATTGACATTATGTAGACTGTACTATTTAAGATTGATGGCTTGAACTCTGCTTCCAAATCTACAAATTTCTCTGTCCTAATAATTTCAGAATGAAATTTGAATGAATTATTATTTTCATTGGAGTCATGTTATATTTTAACATAATAACAATCACTTTACCTTGCAGGTGACATAGATAAGGCTTCTTGCACTAAAAATACAAGACAGGAAAAGTGAACAGCAAATTGTAATAAAACTGTTAATATGGTATAAACATTAAATATATTTGGAAGTGGTCTTTCTTTGGACAAAACTTTAAGAGGCTGAAAAAATACAAGATTAATTTAATTATTTTTGAAAGCAATTACTATTACATTTTATACTATAAATAATTTCAAAAATGCTTTACACTAAAAATTTGGAGTTCCCCCTATTTAATATGATAATTATTAATTACTTGAAATTAATTTTATCATTCTTATTTACAATTTGAGAATATAAAAATATAAAATCTGCTTTTTAATGATAATTTTTATAAAAATTGCTCTTATTATTTTCCCCCACTAAAGAAATATTCCAAAACTATACAAAGTCTACTGATTAAATTGTTTTTGGACTACAGTCGACCCCCCTATAATTACGATTCCTATAAAACTACGAAAAAATATATGTATTTTGGAAATGTTGAGTCGGATTAGTGTAGAATCTATTAATTTTATGGAAGAATACCTTTCAATCAGCCGTAGTCCGTAAACTTGACACGTGTCGGGCTGTGATTGGAACGACTTGTAAGAAATCGGATTCCTAATAAATTGGAACGTATCTATATCTTATAGGGGGGTCGACTGTATATGATAATTTACAAAGTAATTAATTATCAAACTCTGGCAAAAAAAATAACCAGTCTTATATAAGGAGATCAAATAAAACAACAACTTGTAAGGAAGGAGTTTGATAATGCTGTGAATAAGACTTGGTGATGTCACAACCTATTATAAGCACTACCAGCTTATGGCATTGCCAAGCCTGACTCTCATCACCAAATTCTTCGGGATATTTTTCATGAGTTTTATTAATAAATGTAGTGCTTAAATGAAAGTAAAAGATTTGAGGTGTAGTTACATCACAGAAGTACTTCAATAAAATAAGTTAAAAAATATTTGGGCTATATAATTGAAAATTTATGTATTTGAATCTCAGATTGTGTTGTTATAATAATCATTAAGATTCTAAAACAAAGATTATTTTAGCTTCATTTGAACAACAGTAAAGTTTTATTTTTGAAAAGTTCACATTTTGCTTATTGAAACTTAAAATCAAACAATAATTGAGAGATAATTTATAAATCATCTCCCTCAATTATTATTTAATATTCTGGGTGATTATAATTAAAGTACTACTATTCAATGCTGCTGTCTAGAAAGATGTTTAACAGTTCAAATACAACCAAATTCAATATGGCACAAGCAGAAAACATTTTCATTAAAAAAAATGAAAAAATAGTACAAAAACTACCACTATTGGCATTTTGGTGGTACAAGCAAAGAAAAAATAGTTTCCTTTGTATAAGCATGTTTGTTTCAATGAAGTTCTGAGAATACAAGTGGTCATAACTATTGAATGCCATTCTTATCAGCTGTGATGGACACATATTTCTTATAAAGCTACTTTATAAAAAATAATGACAATGCTACAACTACACTTTTGGGAATTTTGCCATTGTAAAAGCTTACATCAATGACCATTTTTCTGAAAACTTGTGGAATCAATAATCACCTACTTCAAAGAAACTGGATATCTGGGAGTTCAACCTGACTGAGGACACAAGTGATATTATACATTTGTGTCCTCGATGTTACCACAGATGTTAAACATTCAATGAATAATGTTGCAGGCTCCAGTTATGAACAGGCAGTGTCACAGCAGTAGGGTATATCCACAGCACAATTTGGAAGGTACTGAGAAAGTTGGTGCATTGTTATTTGTATATCAATTACACCAGAAGTTGCTTGCCCAATCCAATTGACTTTTGCATTTATATTCATTGTCAAAATGGATATGTTGTGGTCTCAGAAGACCCACGACACATCTTTACCTCTGAAACTTGTCTGGTGTGGATTTGCAGCCACATTTATCTCTAAACCATTCTTTAAAGAAGTTAGTTCCAATGGACCTGTGACATGATTTGTGATGGCCTAGAGATAACAAGAGATGCTCAACACTTACTGTACATCAACTACAACAGCAACAATGTTTTGAGTCAACTACTTTCATGCAAGATGGAGCACCATCACATATTAAACACTGCATAAAACAATTTCTGCAACAACATTTTACTGATATTAGTGATTAGTCATGTATTTCCTACTGCCTAGCCATTTCATTCTCTATGCAATTTTTGGTTGTGGGGAACACAAAAAATGTGATTCATCAAAAACATGTTCTGCATTTGGAAGCCTTGAAAGACCATATCGAACTGTCTCTGAGAAGCATCAGAGAGTTGGCTATTTAACAGGCTACACCATTTATCACTTTAGAATACAGATCACATTGAGCAATATTCACTGAATTGCTAAGGTCTCTGTATAGCATGAATGTCTTGCACAAATAAAATGTTGCTTGCAATACCAAAAGTGCCACAGTGGTGAGTTTTGATACCATTTTTCTATTTTTTACCAAAATGTCTCTCATGTTCTGAAATACCATCATACTGGATCTGGCTATGTTTGGACTGCTAAATAACTATCTAGACAGCATTGAACAAGAGAGTGTTAATTATGATCACAGTCAGTATTATACTTGAATGAACACATGATGTTTGAGATATTGTAATTGTTCTTTACTGTAAGAAAAATTATTAAGTTTACAATAGTGTAAGTTATATTTAATATATCACACTGAACATTCTATAAGAATGACATTTTATCAATATAAAATTATATCATAATACATCATTTATAAACTGTATCATTTATATGATATTGAATTGAATTGATTAATTACACATATTTGTACAAAAAGAAAAACATGCTATAATTTTTGAATATGAAATTATAAGGTATTTTTTTAAATGTATGTATCTGTTGCAAAATTGGCTCTTCCTACTATGTGCCTACTAAGAGGATTATTATTCATACCTATAGTGAGCAAGTCAAGTGATTGGGACAAGGCCCATTGTATCTGGACTAAATCACTCACAAGAATTTGAGGATTCAGATGAGATCTTCAGAGCAGTTGGTACATGCCATAGATGTCTCATTCATCTGGCATTTTACTATATAATATACATATTTGTGTATTGATAATATGTGCCACTCACTTGCCAAATCGATTAACTCCATAAAAGAAAAAGTGGAGAAAAGTGACAAAGTAATACCTCATATACATTCTTTTTAAAATTCCTTGTAAAATATAAATTCAAATAAACATTGTAGAATGTATTATTGTACATGTAGCTTTTATTTAATGACATATAAAATGTATAAGATAGCATAGATATGATAAATATGCTATAATCATTATTATTATTACAATTTTGGTGTGATGAAGGGAGTTAATCCATTTAGCAAGTGAAAAACATAACAACAACAAATTCAGTCTTGACATTAGTATACATTTTTTATTAAAGATTTTTTGCAAAAATGAATAATAACTATTTTGTTACTGTTACAATGGTTGTTATTATTATTTTGTTTAAATTGATTATTCATCAATTCAAATGATGTCTTCTTTGTCAGCTGTATTTGACGTCCCATCATGTTGATTTGTTCTTAAATTTTTCAAGAATTGTGTTTAATAGGAAAAAAAAAAAATTATTTTTAGTTTCATCCACCTTGATATAATGGATATAACTTTTCTTTTTTTCTAAAAACAATTGTCACCAAAATTAAAACAATCATTCAATATTCCACAAGCATACTTACTTCTGCAGCAGTTGGACTGTAACTAATTTTTTTTACTTACTTTTTGTGATAAAATAACATTAAATAATTTACTGTTATCTACAAAGCACTGGTCAGTGCACACTTCAGCATTGCAATTGCAGTGTGTGCTGATGGATTAAAATTACAGTATGGAGTTAATTGGATTGACTTCTGAAATAAATAAAATTTTTTTGATGGCCAATAAAATTTTGTCATTAAGTGGTATCAATCCTTATTATTAGGGAAACTTATTATGAATATAAAAAGTTACGAGTATATCAAGTGCTTTCACACTAAAATTTTTAAAAATTCGAAATGGGGAGTTAATTGATTTGGCTTGTGAATGGCTGATATATTACTATAATTTTTAGGTTTCATGTATTTCAATTGAAATGCATAACATTACGGCACACATTAATTAAAGTTTCATATCTAATATTAAGTATGAATATTTAGATTGCTATCTATTCATTAATTCATTATTAATTCTTGTAATACATATATTGCAACTTATTTGTTTTAAAATTTATTTTAGAAGTTATCTATGAAAACATTTTGTATCATTTCTTAAATAAAATAATTGAAATATCTAATATTCTTAATTTTATTTTATTCATCAGAATATCTATTAATCTACACATAAAGATAGTACTGCTGATATGATATACCTTAACTCAAATTATTTTTTTTTTCTGAAAAACAGCTCTGATGCAATATTAAGAAATTATATAAAATACATAAATGATGACAGAGTTTTAATGAAAATTTAGTCCAAAATTTCTTTTCTTTTGTTACACTTGTACACTTCAATTTATTTTTTAAGAACAAACTATCACTTAATAGTCTTATAACATTATTCTTTAATTAGAGGTGAATCAAAAATGAAAGAGTAATTTTTGTTGTTATCGAAACTGTGTTGTTGTTTATGTATTGTATACTGGCACGATGAAGTGACCGTTTAACCAACACTTGGCAAGTTTTCCATCTTTATTTAGTTAGAACTAAATAAAGATGGAAAACTTGCCAAGTGTTGGTTAAATGGTCACTTCATCGTGCCAGTATACAATACAATATGAAAGAGTAATATTAAATTAACTTCTACATTAAAAGAACTGACCAAAGAAATATTTACAATAAGATATTAAAAATTAAAAAAGTTTTTGGAAAATTTAAATACAGATAAACAATTTTAAAAATATTCAACAATTATTTTTATATGTAAAAATAAAATTAAGAATGCTAAAATTGCATTAACAATTTTCATCTTGAGTAAAATGTGATAAGTATTTAGTATACATCAAAATCAGTTATTAATATTAATTCAACATTTCTCATAAATCAATTCTTATATAATATCTAGCATATAAAAACAATTCTAATACCCACCTTTGACCTGGAAATAAATAGAAAACATCCAGCTAATAACAATCCCTGTAATGTTGCTTGAACATCACTGAATTTGATTCCTTCTAAATACAGAACACTTTGACTGTAAGCAAGGATAAGTGCATTAAGAGCCAATATTTTGAACATCTGGAGGGTTGTAACTAGAGTGCAGCGTCCTTGCTTGATAACATGACAAACTAAAAAAAGTGAAAATTGTTATTAACTTAAATAAATTTAACTGTTTTAGCATAATATTAATAAAAAAATTGATAGATTTTGAAAAAAAAAAAAACATTTTATTACATTAATTTAAATTTATAAAATTCTTATCAAATCTGAATAAGTTATACTATATAATCAAACTTTATAATTCAAATGAAAGTGTTCTTTTTGTTGACTCATTAGTCATAAACAAAGTAACCCAAAAGTCTATGTTTTTTGTGTGTTTCAAATATACTAGTGAATATGTTGAAGTATTATAATTTATATTTTGAAAAGGTTTGCAACTAATAGAGCATTTGAATATGATAGCAATTTAGTCTTACAGTTAACTGACATTTGGAACCCCCCACACATATAGCCTTGCCTGGGTTTAAAAGTTTACTTGCTTAAAAAAGCAAGTAAACTTTTAATGTAGTTTCCTGATTGGTTAATATCAATAGACAAGGATTGTCTAAATAGTTTTATTTTTACAACATTATTAATCATGTACTTAAAAATTATTTATTATGAAAAGCATCTGTAAGAATAAACAGAGTCATATTACAATAATCATTTCACACACGTTAAGCTTAAACCACTTCTAGGTTATACTGAGTAGTGTCGTTAAACGAAACGAGTATGTTGTGACATCACTTAATGAATAATCGACAGGAAATGTGATACTGAACCTCACGGCATTCTCATTACAAATGAAACTTTCATTGACTACTCTTGTTTACTGAAAAGTTGGTGCAAGCTACCTTTGAGTCTAGACAACTACTGAATGTATAGTTAAATTCCTATTTTATTATTATTATTATTATTTATTATTATGTTGGGTTTAGTGGGTTATACTTGGTACACACCGATGGCTGTGTACTATGCCAGACCAGAGTCAAGGCATAACAACCAAAATAAAATTAAAATTAAATAAGTGTGTCAGTGTCTGTATTCAGGAATTTCCTAACAATATGGCATGTATTCAATATAGTGGCCTTATTATTATTATTGTATGTATTTCTACTCAATTGTAATGTTCCCAGGCTTTTGTGTAGCGTGTGTGGTATCACACCTGTNTATATATATAATATATAATATATAAAATCATATTTTTTAAATAATAGACAAAATTCCACTTAAGGTAACCTGCTGTGATGCCATGTGTTGCAAATGTTATGTGATCAAAACTGGAAGAAATGATCCTCATTGCCAATTGGTTGATTCCACTATCAATAACACATATGTGATGTTACAATTCGTATGTTTGTTTCAAGGTGAATGACTGTATATAAACCTAACGAGAATGTTAACAATGTAGTTGAGTATCATTATAAGCCATACATTTGTTAGAAATGATTGTTGATGTTAACTAGCTGAAACCTTTTCACATTGGCATTCAGTACCACCTCCTTGATCTTTCTCTGTATAGATTTCTAAACAGATGACATAGCTGCCTTGCCAGATATGTCATCTTTTTAGAACTTACATTGCACTAATAATACAACAACCTATAATCTTATTCAAAAATATAATAATATAATCTGTTTCAAAACCATCAGTTAAGATGGATAATGTAAGAGTTTTGAAAGAGGGTCTGGAAAGAACTCAGAAAACAGCATTTGCAATTTTGGAGACTAATGAATTTAAGTATGATTTTTTAAAATTGTATATATAACTATCAAAAATGTTTGATTTTATAATCACTTTTTTGTTTGTGAATTTTATTCTCAAAAAATTTTAAGAACAAATATTCCGAAGTAACAGTTTCTATAGCTTCAAATGAAGATAATCCTTGGGATATGTCATCTTTATGAAAATAATGTATGGCTGTTTGCAAAAAATATAATGTTTAGAATTGAATTGTTGCATCTTTTTGTTTCATTTTCATGTAATGTAATTTTTTGAAAGTTTAAAAGTTACTGTTAAACCCTTCTTAAAATGAATACTTTACAATTTAAATCAAATTATTCAAAATCTGTAAATAAATGTTAATATACAGATTTTAAATAAAATCACAGGGAAACCATCCTATGGTTTTACTCTATTATATAACACTTTTCAAATCTTAACAAAGTAATTCAAGAAATAAAAATTTTATTGAACTTCTTACTGCATTGGATGGATGAAGTCTTAGATGTGAAAGGTGCTGCAATACTTGCATCACCAAGTTTAACTATCTGAGGTTGATCCTGTTCTTCCAGCTCTTTCAAGAATTTCTGCAACTGTTTCTACAAATTGAAAAATATTAATTTCATAATTATTAAGTCTATAAAAATCTTAAGTCTTTTAATTTAATATTATTCAACATAATCAGCCTAAATATTGAATAGATAATTAATACAATTAAAAAATGTGTAATCACTTATTTCAATTAAGTCAAAGCAATGTAAAAGAAAAAATTAATATTAAATTTAATATGTATTAATACATATTAAATGCAATTTTTGAATTCTTTAAATTTTACATAATATTTACAGTTATGTAAAGAAAATCATTGAGATGTTGATTTATTCAAAGTACAGATATTCTGATTTACAAACATTACAAACTTCTGATCATTCTCCCATAAATTATCATTGTAGTATTTCAAACATTACAGACAATGGATGTGACATAAAATACATGAAATGTCAACATTGTATTTTGTTTTCAACAGTTTCATTACAACATATATTTCATTTATATGAACATTTTACTTTATTATAAACTATCAGGTAACCAAAAAAGTTCTGTCGTTTTTTGTCGAAAGAAAACAAATATAAAAATGTATAGGAAATAACAAAATTTATTCATCAAAATAACCACCCTCACATTCAATAACCTTTTCGCAATGGGAAACAAGCTTATAAATTCCATTTTTACAAAAGTCACGATCTTTAGAGTTGAAAAACTTCTCTAACTCCGTTTCTATAACCTCTGTATTTCTGAACTGTCAATTTCGCAGATGATTATCTAGGCTTAAAAATAGGTGATAGTCAGAAGGGCTAATGTCAGGGAAATAAGGAGGGTGCAAAAGAGGTTCCCATCCAAGGGTCTGAATTGTGTCAGAGGTCACACACGCAACATGATGTCTATAGCATTATCGTGTAGGAAAAGAATGCCTTTACAGTTTACTAAAGCTGGCTGTTTTTTCAAAAGTGATTGGTGAACTTGATGGAGTTAGATGTTAGCAGTAATAGTCTGGCCAGTGGTATAAGTTCATAGTGAACAATTCCATTTGCAGTCCACCATACGCACAATATTGGCAGGTGTCAATTGATGAGGGATCCATTTGCTGAGCTTGTAAACTTTTCCAAGACTATGCAAATGTAAACGAACAGTTTCATCACTTACGGAGAACTTTTGTTCTAATATCTGACAAGTTTGAGAGGAATCTTCTTCAATTGCAGCCTGTAATTCATCATTATTAATGACATATGGCCGTCCTTCTCGTGGCGCATCTTTAAGCAATCATCACCAGAAGAAAATTTTTTAAACCACCTTTGGGTGGTATGAGTGTTGATAGAACCTTGTCTGAAAGCCTGGCATATTTTTTGAGCCATTTGCACAGCATTTTTTCCAAGTTTAAACTCATACAACATACAAGCACGAATTATAGAGTTTGGAGTACTCATCTTCAGGTCAATTTTGTAATATTAAGAGATAACCTTTCCGCTTCTCTTTATATAAGATGAGTCAGTATTAAATCTTGATTAACATATTGCTGGAATTTTAGTGCCATCTATTGTGTATTGAGTTTAATGTTCTTTAAACTTTGTAGTTTCACAAAAAACGACAGAACTTTTTTGGTTACCTAATATTTTGATTTCCTGACAAGTCAATGAAGAGGTAAAGACACACAATTAAAAAAAGCAAGAGATTTAAAATTGGATAAAGTAGAATGAGTTATTGCCAATACTTCTCTCACATTTAGTGATCTCACTTACTTTAAAAACAAAGAATACTTTAGAGCAGTTCTGCATTTTATAAAATAGGAGAGAGAGCTACTAAACAATCCAAATTATGAATATCTATACTGAAAGATCTATTAGATGAAAAAGGCTATTTATCATCAAAAAAGAAATTTTTTTGAAAATGTGCACTATTTAATTTTTATTCATTAGTAAAGAGAAACCAATCAAAAATGAATACTTAACATATGCATAAGATATCTAATCAAAATTTACATTAATGCAGAAATGATAATTTTTGAAAATAAGTTGAGTTATGAGTAATATGGCTATAATAAATCTCAAAAAATAAAAACTCCATTTACATGAATTCATATAGTTTGCTTTTTAATCTGATAATGCACTTTTTAATAAATAAATNATTTATTTCTTCACAGTATTTCCAGCAACTATTTTATATTAATAAATCAATGTAGTAGCATTACCTACAAGTGGATATTACCTACATCTTCTGGGTATTTCTCATACAATTATGAGAATACAACAAATGCAATACTAAATGTTTGAAAATATAAAAATATACTTTGAGTGACCTTGAACTTTGAATGAACTAATATTTATTTATCAATCAATATTTCAACTCTGTACTAAATGCAAATAAGCAATTTCCTAATAAATCTTTTGTCCAAAAGTCAATATAAGTTTACATTATTTGTAGCTACAGTACATTTTTCTTCAAGGTAAAAGCTTTAAATAATTACATTTAAAATTCCTTAGCAGCATGTTATATAGTTCTATTTTAATTCTTATGCTGTTGAGAATATGATTACAAATAAAGAATTGATTAATGATTAAGCCTTTAATATTTGTAAGGACTGTTTAATGATTTAATAATTTTTCTTTTTTAAAAATTCTTTTATTACAGTTTCAACTGTTTTTTTGGATAAAAATTATTTTAGAAAACTGTTTGGAAAATCAAAATAATAAATGATAAAAAATTTCTTAAAGAAAACAAATACTGTATTTACACAACCTCGCATATAAGACAAAGTGTGACTTTAAAGATCAAAATTTTAAAAAAATTAGGTTTATCAATACAATTGAAATTTTATTTTGTTTTATCACAAAGTAAAATATCGAATAAATGTAAATGCACACATTGTCCGCAAAAATTACTGGCATTTTAAACTTTAAGGAAAAATCATGTAAAATTGACACTACAATTTGTTCATGTAAAGCCAGACAATCAGAAACCCTTTTTTGCCAATTCTTAACAGTCAAATCCACTCTCTGTCGATTACACTTATGAGTTTCTCCGAGATTATCAGCACAAAACCTTTCTCACTAATTTCTAGTCTTATTAACTGGAGTACAAACGTTTCGGCCTTCTTTGTACTCCAGTTAATAAGGCTAGAAATTAGTGAGAAAAGTTTTGTGCTGATAATCTTAGAAATAGTTCTAGCTACATATGCATAGTAGAGTTTCTCCGAATTTTGATTTCTGAATAATCATCTGTTTTTACATGAAAATGGATAAAAACTTATATCTTACTCCCGTGTGATTTTGGAATTTCAACCTGAAATTCAATTCAAAAGCTTTGCTTTTCCTATTTCTATTCATCTTTAGTCCTGACAATATACAAGAACAATTCAAACGAGACCAGATAAAATACTTATGTTTTTAAATACAAGAGGGTAAGTATCCAGTAAAAAATGTGAATACATGGTTCACAAAAATTATTTGCAAAAATGCAAAAATCTTTTGCTCATGTGTATTGGACAACCTAGGAATTTGAAGCCATGATAAATGAATAAAAACCATGTCTTATATGCGAATAAATATGGTATTTTGTTTAATCAAAGTTAAATATTTTTGGGACAAAGTGTCCAAAAACATTAACACTAATACAAATTTCTTAAATAATTTCTATAATTGTTGGAAAATTAAACAACTAAAATTAATTTTGTTAGTTTTGTATTTAATATTCAACAAAAAATTTCAATAAACACATTTCTTTAGTATTCATAATAATAAAACTTGTAAAACTCATTATTAAAATGATGTTTTATTTGATTCTAATTTGTATTTAGGTGTTATTCTGTTTGTATATAGTTCCAGTTTATATGTGCAGTAGTTGTTTTTTGATATTTTATAACTAATATTGAATAAAAATATAAAAATTATTACTATTTCTTCTTTTATTAATGACTTGTAATGTTACAAACTTATTTATTTATTGGAATATTGCTATTTTTAACAGTTTGTCAAGATGATAACCCAGTATTTGGTATGAAGTACTTTAAGTATAGTTTTTTCTATATTTTATTAAAGTATTTAACATCTAATACTGGGTTACCTTCTTGAAAGACTGTTTCCGTTACTTTTAATTAATTTATATAAGTATGTGTCTGTGTACAGGTACAATACAAATTATTTAAAAGGAGCTTATACAAGGAAACCAATGATGCCGATAATATCAATAATTAATACTTATAGATTGGAATCGTTACAAACGTAGATAGGTTTATTAGTAGATAGTAAGGTAGATAGGTATATTAGGTTGATAAACTTTATATATTTCCGACTCTTAACCCAAAATAAATTATAATGCCTAAACTTTACGAAAATATAAGTAAATAAATTTAAAAAGCTACGTAAATATCTACAAGATTCTATTGTAGAGATATTCTATGAGAAAATTTATTTAAATTAAACTATTAAATTTAAATAAAATAAACTCTTACGATATTTTCAGGATTCTTCTCTCATTCTACCAAAACCGTGAAATCACGTCGAACGTCCGTTTGCCGGACCGAATGCATTATGTTAATTGGGCTAGATACTTTATCATCCGTTACTATATTTTCTTCATAAAAGTGACTTATAGACATTATTATATTTTTTAAATTTCTAGATGTGCCTAAAGCATTAATTATATTACACGAATCAATTTAATGGATTGTTATTATTTAGTTATAAATATACATTTTGTTTTATTTTGTCTTTAATTTTATTTACAATTTTAAATTTAAATGTTATAAATTTAAAATCATTATTTTTTAAAATTTTTAAATGTTGATGTGATTTTATGACTCTTACTGTGATGGCGAGTATATAATTTCATAAATACCGTATATTGTACTGTACATTTATATTTATGGAATGATTTATATCATATACTGTATGTTAATAAATATACTGTAATAATTACTGTAATTATTACTTAGAAATCAAGTGCAGTATACAAAAGATATCCAAGTTATTCAGAATTTATATGATATAAGAAGGATATGTAATATATGAACTGCCTGTATACAGTGTTATGAAAATGTTCTTGAAAATATATTTAAACATTTTATTATTCTTGATATAATTCTATATATACACTCATTGACAAAAAAAGTTACGCATCAATAAGGAGGCATTGGTAATCGAATGGAATTACTAGCGGGAAAGCAATTACAATATAGGAAATGGACAATTTCCTACGCAACAACGGTACAATATAAAAGCATTCTTTAGGACTTTGTGGAACCTCCCTTGCCTGGATACTTGTTTGTTTGTTTGTTTAGTTATGGCAATGCAACACTTGGGCGATCTGCCTAGGGAGGATGCCTTCCGGGAGGTCTTTTTTAAGGGAAAATGGCCCCTATTTAGGCGTTACAGACGTGGAGAAAACCCGGAAAATTCCACGTGGCCAGTCCGTCCGAGCGAGGCGCGAACTCATGACCGAACTCCCAGTGTTCAGTGTATGAAGATCGATTGGCCACTGGTGGGTCCCCGGATACACTGCGGTGATACGGTCAGGCAAGGAGGCATACTGGCCATATTATACGGATACTGTATGCTATCTTGCGACAGATTTGCCAATAAATGTAACTGCTACTCTAGATTTTTTGTTATATAAATGTCTACTGGGACATCTTATTAGTAAGATTTATTATACTGATGTCAGGGTTCTGCGAATTGAGGAAACTTATTCAGAAAAATTCGCTTCCTCAATTTGCAGAACCGGGACACCAGTATAATAAGTCCTTATGTCCCAGTAGAAATTTATATAGCAAATTGTATAATAAGAACACAAAGGCATGTGAATTAATACAATGGCTAGATGTCCATGCGATTAAGGGATCAGCCTACCACTCTGGGGAACCCGGGATCTATACGAGTCGAAAAATTCCCAGAAATTTTTCGGGGGTGATCCGTCCAGATACGTCAGGCCTCATCCCTCATCACCCGGCCGCCCCATTGTGGGCCTGGCCGAACCTATAATGGACTTGTTAATGCAGACCCTCTTAATTCCCACAGATTGGAAAGAATTAAAAAAAAAAAAAGCAATAAACTCAAGTTGCTGTTTATTAAAGAACAACAACAGACAATTTTGCCAGATTTGAAAATTTTTTGTCAGTGACAAATTTTAAATTAAGTTTTTAAGATTTCACTGGTGATGTTCAATAGTTTTTCTCAGAAACCGTTAGAGATAGGAAGATGGGACTAACAACAAAGTGTACAGAGCAGACGGGAAACAAGTTTTGGTGACTTTGGATGATCTTGACAATCAGTGATTTCAGTGAAATCAGTGAAAAGGTATTTATTTCGTCGCATACTACTCATATAATGGCTGAAAAGCCATTATATGAGTAGTATGCGACAAAATAAATACCTTTTATAATAGGTTACATTTTCTTAAATTCAATGGTTTTCAAGATATCGGTCAGTTTCTTCTAAAAATCTGATTTCTCTTTTTTTCGAAAGTTCCTATGCCGGGAACTAACTTTATCAGTTTATTCATCAAAAAGCATTTATTTATTTACATGGCATCCTCTTTACAGAGGGTTGTGGTTGATAGACAGTTCTTTACTCTTCACGGTTGCCAGTTCATTTCTTGATGTTGTCTTGCCATGTTAGCCTAGGTCTTTCCTTTCTCCATCTGCCCTCCACCATTCCTTGAATTACAATGATTATCAGTTTCACCTAGGATCCTCTTATATGCCTAGCATATGCTGTTTTCCTTCTCTGGATGCTGACCATCAGGTTTCTTTCCATTCTAAATCTACTCATCACCTTCTCATTGGTTATTTTATCTATCCAACTAATTTTTTCCATTCTTTTAAGATACCACATCCCAAAGGAATTTATCCTATTAACTGCCTCTTGGTTTATTTTCCATGACTCGCATCCGTATATAGCCACATTCAAAACCGTTGTTTTAAGTATTTTTAGTTTCAATTTTTTGCATACATTTCTATCTCTTAATTAAATTAATACTGAGGATATTTGTGCGAAATCAGCTTTAGCCTTGTTTTATTCTGTTTTTAATTTTATAATTACATCTGTTATCCTCAGTTATCCAACTTCTTAGGTACTCAAACATTTTTACTTTTTCTATTTTCTTTCCATCCAACATAATCTGTAGATCTTTGTTTTCTTCTCATGAGATTATCATAACTTTCGTTTTGTTCACATTTATTTTCATTTGGTATTTTGCTTTTCCAACTTCTTTCAATCTATTTAGAATTTTCTCATATTAGTTGAAGACAAAAATACGAACAGATTAGCATTAATCAGACAGCCAGGCAAAATAAAGGAAATTTATTCATATTTTTCAATCTAGTAAATGTAGTCATATAATATAAAGTTTCAATTTACACTTTCCTTTGGGGCACAGAGTACAATTTTAAATATAAGAAAACTATTTTTCCGCTTACTCTTTAGACAACAAATATCATCGAATTAAAAAAAAAAAAACTGAATGAATGTGCGCATGTTCTCTAAGCCAGCGGTCGCCAAACCTACTTATTAGTTTGTTTTAAGTTTTGTTCGTTATGGCATGTCACAAATGGTCAATAATCAGTACGTAGCTTATTTGTGGCAGGACTCTGAAAATTCTTTACTTGTCGGAACCTGTAATATCTGGAACGATTGTGCTTATGCTGTCTTAATTTTTAACTGTGCCCGATAGATTCAATAACCGCGTAAGGCCAGGTTGTGCAAATTGGGGAAGAATACTGTTAAATTTCTTTCCTGTCATTACCTATGTGTGTAGCAATGATTTGTGTTATATAAACTTTTGTATTTGTATTGTGTAGCAACGCTTCGTATCATATAACCATTGTATTATTGTTTATAATAAATAAACGGCCATGACGTGGCATCTTATATCAAGCCCGCCACTTTTTGGTTCGATATGACTTGAAACGGATGAAAGTAGTCGTGTATGATTTTTTAAACTTACTTGTAAGGTTCACTATCTGTGAACACATAACTTGCAACAGTGATATATTCAACAGATACAAACGAATACGAAGTTTGCAAGTATGAAGTTTTTCTTCATAAATCTGATTATTAAAGCCAAACGAATTTCCGAATTATTGGGCTATAAGCTTGATGCCGCTATTAAAGCAGCCGAAGGAGACAAATCAAGAATACTAGACAAAAAAAAAAATACTACAATCTCGAAAACGAACTCGAAATCTTCCAGGCTACAAGTGAAAAAAACATATAACATCTGTCTTCTTTTAAATGCATTAAAAACGATTCCACTAACATCAATTAAATAGGAAAGGACATTCTCGTTAGCGGGACTTTTCATTACTAAAATAAGAATCAGATTGACTGATATTTGCGTTTTAAAATCTTATTATNTTCGTATCATATAACCATTGTATTATTGTTTATAATAAATAAACGGCCATGACGTGGCATCTTATATCAAGCCCGCCACTTTTTGGTTCGATATGACTTGAAACGGATCAAAGTAGTCGTGTATGATTTTTTAAACTTACATAACTTGCAACAGTGATATATTCAACAGATACAAACGAATACGAAGTTTGCAAGTATGAAGTTTTTCTTCATAAATCTGATTATTAAAGCCAAACGAATTTCCGAATTATTGGGCTATAAGCTTGATGCCGCTATTAAAGCAGCCGAAGGAGACAAATCAAGAATACTAGACAAAAAAAAAAATACTACAATCTCGAAAACGAACTCGAAATCTTCCAGGCTACAAGTGAAAAAAACATATAACATCTGTCTTCTTTTAAATGCATTAAAAACGATTCCACTAACATCAATTAAATAGGAAAGGACATTCTCGTTAGCGGGACTTTTCATTACTAAAATAAGAATCAGATTGACTGATATTTGCTTTTTAAAATCTTATTATAAAATACTTAAAATCTTATATATACAATAATATTTTGTATTATGTTTTATTTAAAAATCGAAAATTACCTTCTAAGTTAGAAGTTTCATCTAGATTCGTTTTTTAAAATGTTCAACTCAATTCAAAGCATTTTGTTGTTGTTGTTGTATGCAGTTTCCAGCAAACTTTAATTAATAAATTTATACATAAATATAGTTAATAATATAGTAATAATGATAATTTATAGTATTATTTCTACGTAATTCAAAGGCAATTTTTAATATATATCTTATACAGCATTATTAATATGATTTTGGAGGTTGCAGAAAGTATTAAATTACTTTAAAAAATGAAAAATAATTATATCATTCGATTTCATAATATTTCATATATCTTAAAAATAATTAATTCTGCCACGGGATTTCCCGGGATCTCGGGAAACAGTTCACTTTTATCCCGGAATTCCGGGACAAGCAAAAGACCGGGAAATGAGAAACCCTAGGCCAGACCCACAATGGGGCGGCCGCTTGGTGAGGGACAGGGCCCGAAATATTCGGGACTGACCTCCCACAAAAAGTTTCGGTGGAGTTGCTCATCCAGATTTTATCACGGATTCACAGAACGGTAGATTGATATATTATTAATCGCCTCTATCTTCCAGCTGACTGTATTGTGACATTCAGTTACGTTTGATTTCATTCACTCTTGTTTCCCAGGAGGGTAAATGTCGGCTTTCGGTTAGTGACATCCATTATTTTTGAACACAATAAAATCATTCTAAATTATCGTATAATTAAACGAAATAATTCTCATAATGATTTTAGTATTAAAAATTATTCATAAAACTTGCACATTCTTTTTTATATTTAAATATTCCATTCGACTTTAGTTTGTATTCAAAATGAGGTAAGGCTTGTTAAAGAATATAAAATTGATTTATGCACAAAATTTATCTAGAACTTAAGTGTTTCCGAAAGTTCCGTTTAAATATGTTGTAAATATATCTACAGAATTTTTCAAAAGGACATGAATGCATATGCCCTGTATATATAGAATGATTTAAAATTATGGTTGAAAGTACCGTATTTAGAATAGAAATGGTCACATGTAAAATTATGGCTGAATGCAAGTAAATCTTTTCTGATACCAATTTAATTTATACAGAAAAAGTTCGTTATTAAATAAAATTAATTAATTACCAAAGATTATTATTTAACTATGAATTATAATTGGTACTGTAAGCAGCACAAATTGTAATTGGTAATTGCATATTGACATAAAATATAAAATGATAGTACTATAACAACTGAAAATTTAAAAAAATAAATAAATAATAGAAATTTAGAAGCATTATTTATAAATGTAGTGTCTGCAAAGTTTCTATGCATGCTAGTTAAAAGATATCTGTCAGCTCCTATCCATTCTCTGTATAAGTTTTCATTTTGTTAACGCAATCCTTGATAGCTATTTTAGATCTTCATTGATTCAACTGTGGTTAAAAATGCAGTTCTGAATGAGGCAGTTGGGAATTTATCAGAACTGTAGACCATACCCATAGCAATAGAAAAGTCAAAGGAATTTATGATCTACATGTGATCCTTTATGAGATATGGTTCTCAAAAATGGAGTAAAATTTAAAAGTGAAAAAATCCAAAACTATTTCTCAAAACAGTGCTAAAAACAAACTGTTTTTCACTTTACTAGAGATGGTTAAAACCTTAAAGAATTGCCATTGCACCAACTACTTCTGGACAAGAACATCACCAGCCAATGGGCCAGGGGGGCAAGATGATATAAATTGATAGAGGATATGAATTTCATGCAGGTAAAATAAAAACAATTCATAAAGTTTTAATCATTGACTATGTACTGGAGAAGAAATATCTTAATTAAAACATTTTTTTTTTTAAAACTTACAAGAAGCCTAAGATGATTATTTTAATTAAAACTTAGCATTTAAATAATTTTTTTTAATTTCTAGGGGGCAGCTGCCCCCGTCTCTTTCCCTTGGTGACGCCCTTACTTCTGGAGTTTATCTATATACTACACTACTGTACAGGGGCAGATCTACATAGGGACTAATAGGGCTCAAGCCCTGGGCTCCAAGTGTCAAGGGCCCACAAAAATTGAATTATCATCATAAACTTTTAATACTTTTTCATTAACAATGAGCACTTATCGTATAGTAAAATATAGTTAATAATATAATAATAATGATAATTTATAGTATTATTTGCATTAATAAAAAATGGGGCCCCATTGGACTTCAATAAGTCTTAGTCCCTGAAAAACCTAGATCCACCCTTCTGCTATATCTTGCAAAGGGTCACATATAGATCATTGGTTTCTTTTACATTTTTACTCCTATGGTGCAAGGTCTACAGCTCTGATGCAACAACTGTTCTTTCAGAGCTGCATCTGTACCTAATAGTAGTAAAGTTGAGAAATTTTTCTATAATAGGGTGATCAGATGTCCCCAATTTTGCCTATTTTTAATATTTGAATGTAGAATCAAGAGTGTAGTTGTAATAATATTGTAACTTTTAAACATATTCTGATATTGCATATCTTGTTATTAAATTTAAAATAATAAATTCCATTAGATATTAAATGTAATTATATTATAGAAACTAATTAACTTATGTAATGTTTGTTTAATGTTAAAGTATGTATTATATAAATAATGTTTATGATGGAATGCAACTTTAACTGTAAGATTTTTGAAAATATCAATATTTTTAAATTAACTTCAATATTTTTTTTTAGTTTGAATAGTAAGGAACGAAAGGACATTATTGAAAACTATCTTAAATATAAACAAAAGTAAGAAACTATTTATTTTCTGTTATTTTCTTTTTGTTTTCCATCTTTTAAATCATACTATATTTTTTTTAGTATAATTTGTTTGCAATATATGAGTTTAAATTTTGAACTACTGTATTTAGTAAAATAATTAATTTCAATTCAACTACTCAAACTGGATATATACAGTATAAATAAGCACTACACATATAACCAATATACAACAAAAAAATTCAAAACTACACGAAAGCAAACACTTGGATCTGTGTTGAATGGTCATCATAAGCTAACTGACCTTCACATTTGCTTTCGTGTAGTTTTGTATTTTCTTGTTGGATATTGGTTATATGTGTAGTGTTTATAAAATAATTAATGCTGTTATTACAATGATTATGTTTTCATACAATATTTTGTTTGTTTCAACTCAATATGATTTGTTTTCCTGGTGATTATTGTATAAAAGAATGATAGAACCAACAACAAAAGAAAAAAAAATAAGAATCTGATTGTGAAATAGTAGATCAGGTTGAATATAATACAATAAATCTGACTTACTGAACCTATAACCGATGCGTATCACTTTTTCTTTCACAAATCAAACGTTTTCATAACCCCTTCTGGGTTCTTCATCAGGATAACAGCTGTTTTGAAATCGCTTTATAAATTTTTTGAAATTGCTATTCGATCCAGCTGTTATCCTGATGAAGAACCCAGAAGGGGTTATGAAAACGTTTGATTTGTGAAAGAAAACGAGTGATACGCATCGGTTATAGGTTCAGTAAGTCAGATTTATTGTATTATATACAACCCGATGTGCAGTGATAGTATATTATCAGGTTGAATATTTAGCAGAGATGACAAATTGCAAATATAATATTAATACTTACTTTTTTTTAAATTAATACTTACACAAACTGTGTAGATCCAGTAGTGCTAGCAGGATTTATTTCAAGGAGAGGTGCATTGAACAATGGAATGATTAATTGAACAAAAGTGATTTAAATTAAAAGAGTATCAAGAGAATTTGAGGGTTGTAGGACCTGGTAGGTTCATTCCATTTAAAGAAAATTGCCACTGGCATTAAACTGGATATATACTAGTATGGACATAAAGTAATTATGTCATTAACAAACCAGGTAAATGATGACCATCTGGTAGAAGTTGCTTGCTGCTGTATAAAAAATGAAATTATTGTGATGTTGCTATGAAGTCATATGTCATCTTTTTCTGTAAGACCTGTTGAGTTAAACAAAGTAATTTTGTATGAGAATTAAACAGGTTGAAACAGAATTACATAATTGAGGTAGAGTGTTAGAAAAGCATCTTTTGTGTTCATTCTTGAAATTTTATTGATCAATCTTGATAAAACTTTGCCATTTTCCATTCATTTCGATGAGGAATCCAAAATCGTAATTAAAAAGTGGGGGGTCCATGAATTTGTTTTTGAGATACAAGGTTGTAGTATGAGCACGTATGACAAAGCAGTATTGTGCAAATGGTATTACAAAGTTATGCAATGTCTCAAAGTCACTAGTACATCTTCTATGTGGCTTATAGAATTGATTTTGTTTCAAAAACATAATAAAGAATATTAGTCCATGACTTTATTTTTGAGATACATTGAGGTCAAAGTGACAATGTGCATAATCCCTGATGCAATTGAGCCTGCCTAATGGAATTTAGGGGCAAAAATAAAAAAAAAAGGGCATTGTGCAAACCTAATGGAAAATGGGCCTGAAAAAGAAATAAAACACAAGAACAAGGCAATCAATGCTGATTGCTTTGCTCTTGGATTGCCCCTCCATGTTGGCAAGTGCAAGGATTGCCTATTTTGAGAAGCCTCTTTCTTTCCAGTTTTGTCTCAATTCTATCAGGATTTGACAATGATGTGCAATGTCCTAATTTTATTAAATTGATATTTGCCAGAGCATGAGACTGAGACCAAGCATATAGTACAAGCTCATTAGTCCAACACATATGGGACAGTGGCTCACCCAGAGGGGGATTAAGGAGTCCTGGTACCTTTTAAAAGAAAAGAAAAAAATACTATAGAAAATTGTCCAAAAGTCTTTTCTTAATTAAAATTCATTTTTGTATTTATATTGTGCTGCATCTTCTACTTCTATACTACTTATGAATTAGAATCCACATAAGGTGGGAATTGTATTGAATTCATATTAAAAAGTTTTTATTCATTCAACTCAGCTCTCAAAATTAAATCTTGAGTATGCCAATGGAGAGAAGTGACACTTGATGATCTTTTTAAATATGTAGACTGCAGTGCCTCTTATCAAAAACAACTTTTGAATTTGTTTGGAATGCTTTATTTGAGAATGTAATACAGATGTTGATAGTGTAAACATGACAGGACAAAATATTTCTTGGATACATGTCTCCAATATTCTCATCATGCCAATTGGAGAACTTACAAACTGATGAAATAACTTGCTAAGCATGGTGTAGCAAAAATAAACTTTTGATTAGTGTACTGCTATTGTTATGTAGTGTTTTATTTTGATAAAAATGTAAATAAATCATTTTATGTTAATATTCATTACATAATTGACGCAGTGTATTTACATCATAAAAATGGTTTTGACAGAGTGACAACCAATGTGACATCATTTATGAAGATTTGTCATAATGTGACAATGAGTGATGTGAGAGAGAAGAGGTGTTAAAAACGTGGAATTTTAGTTGACATTATTTATGAATGACCTCTAAGTAATAGATGCTTTATTTAAACTTTACAGAATTAAACAAGTTGAAACAGAATTACATAATTATTTATTGAATTCAAAGTTATTGGATGTGGAATTAAAGACACTTATGGAGAATGACAATATCCTTCAATTAAAAAGAATCACTTCATGTAATATGCTTTTTAATATTAAGTTTTATAGTTTTAGCTATTTTATAACAAATTATGCTATATTATCTGTTATGATTTGATAATAAAGCCAAATGATTGCTGGAATAAATCAGGCTATATTACCACTATCAATGGTAATATAGCCTGTTTTTTAATCTGGCAATCATTTGGCTTTAATATAACTATTGGACTTAGAGATGCTTATATATGATTTAATAATAATATAGTACGGGGTGTATATAAATTGTCTTTACAACTTTGAAATCATATAAAATTTTTAGTAGTAGGCTGAAAACAATGATATTAATGATGTTATATAGAGAAAATATTAAACTACTTACATGTCACAAACATTTAATATGGATATTTTTTGCATGACATCATTTTTGTCATGCAAAGAATATCCAAATAATAATCTAGTTCTTGCCAGGCACAGTGAAGCATGTTGATATCAATTTCTTAAATGGTAGCTTGAGTTTTTGCCTTAAGGTCAACAAGATCAACAATTCTAGCTTGTAAGCACAATCCTTAATGAAGCCCCAAAGGAAATAGTCATAAGGTGTGATGTCTGGTGACTCTTGAGGGCTATTTGAAGGGCCCATCACAACCAATCCAAGGAACTCATTGTCAAGTATCTTGCAAACAAATTTGGTCCAATGAGGTGACAAACGTCTAGAGCCCTGGTAAATCTTGGTTCTAAATTATGCTGATATGGTGAACAGCACCAGTTTGGGGAACTGGATTTGTCAATTTCAGGTTGTATGTGACTGGAGGATTGGCACTTCTTTAGTGCCTTGTCAGGACTGACACCACCATGTTCCGATTGACATGGAAGCCGAGACGGCAGTTTGATTCCATCCCACAAGCGGCTGCATGCATGGGCAATTGGATTCAGGATGGAGACCGTGTGTTAGTGAGCAGGAAGTGACTCATGCAGAAACTAGGTAATGAAACAACCATTTATTTGTAGAGGATAATTTATACATTTTATACATTCTATTGTCAGATTTATACATTCTATACATTCTATTCATCAGATCAAACAAAAAATATGTCTAGCTCTTTCTGCATTTCTCGAGAAAGAGAGTTTACATGAGATATGTGCGGGGATAATTACCTTGTAGAGGATCTTGGTCACTATGTTCTGAGAGTAGAGATCTTGTAGAAGATCTTGATCTGATGCAGGTTGGAAATCCTTTCAACCTGCATCAGATCAAGATCCCAATAGATCTAGTTGGGGAAAGCATTCATATAATTAATCTAATTCAAAGTTATTGGATGTGGAATTCAAAGATTGGGAATTAATCATTAAATGAATTATATGTCTTGCTTGGACTTACAAGTTAGACATACTTTGAACTACATGTTCTGGAGAATAGTCCTTATTCTGACAGTTCTGAGTGTATGATAGATATTATGGCCATAGATGAGGAGGTATCCGAAAATGATGTATCCCAAGGAGTCCAGGGTATCTAAAAATTAGAACAGGAAAAAAAGGAGTGGTCCGATCGAGGAACTGGCAATGACTGCCTAAACTTGCAGTTCCTTGCTATATTCAACTGATGAAATTGAGACAATAGGTCTGGAGGTTATGAGAAAGCATCACTTTTGCTGCTGAGAACTTAACAAACGATTAACACTCAGGTGTAAAAGTTGACAGTTATCTGACAAAATTCTATCATTGCAGGGGTTACTTCCACCACGCGGTCCGCTACCTCCGCTGCTTTGTCTACGTTGAGTGGGGTAATGGTGGCTAAGATAGATTGGACAGAAGTCGGAAAGTGTTGTATGAATAATTCTAGTATAACTGCGTCCGGGATTTGAAAATTTTCCGCCCGACGCTTTAGAACACGTAGTAGTTCGGAGGGTTTGCGATCTCCTAGCTGTTCTCTGGCCAATAGTTTTCATAACTCCTGTTGAGACGATTTGCCGGATCATTTAATAAGTTCCACCTTTATGTGACCGTACGGGTCTGTACGGTCCGGAGAAATAATAATGTCTCTAACCGTTGATGCGACTTCCGGTGGTAAATGGGCCACTACGTAGTTGAACTTTGTGGCACTTTCCATGATCAGATTTGGAGATCCTAGCACAAATGTGCTTTCGCACATGTGGAACCATAAGGCTGGGTCAGAAAAGTTGTATGGAGGGATTTTTACCGCTCCAATCTCGGCCATGATCTGACAACTGAGGTCTTGAGAAAAGGAAAACGACGTACCTGATGAAGGTTCCAATGGTAGTTCTTAGTCGAATTATGTTCTTAGTCCGGCTCACTAATGTGGGTTTTGGTTGTGGTTGCTTTTATCTTTTGTCACTGTGAGTGAAAGAAACGAATGAGACGAGATCGTAACCAAAACTGATTTTATTGTCTTTCTCGTGTATTTGGTACTGCACATGTCTCGATGATGCGGCTAACAAAGACAACTGGTGGTTGATTATCCTTGTTGGGTGAGTTCGAATTTATTGCAGGAAGTGATGACTCATACACCATTGCTTGTGTGAGATCAGCCAGGACGTAGGGGTCTCAATCTACGCCACTTACGGGCACTAGTCGGTGAGACTAGTTCTCTAGGATGCAGATCACTAGATCTGATCTTAAATATTTCATAGGAGAGCGATATCAAAATTGATCCGAACTGCGAAGTTCAGATACTCGTCAGGATTTTTTGACACCAGTTAATCGATCTTATTATACGCGGATTAACACGCGTTTGTGATCTGATTCGGAATGAATTGAAGAGACATTTTTATAAAATAAAACAAGAGTAAATTTAATGATTCCAAACAAACGAATACAAATAATCGATAACAACAATTAAGCGACAAGCTAGAGGTTACGACTTATGCTATGCTAAAGCACGATCGAGAGAGAGAGCTCACAAAATTATTCTAAACATACGACCTGTTTAGTTGTCTTCGTCTTCGTTTCTGTAGGTAAAGGACACCTTGTAGATAGAGTTCATAGTACTTTCATACGGGAGATCAATTCGTGCACAAAATATAAAATATCACTTCTACGTATAGACTCGGGACTTAGTCTATGGGACTCCGTTAAGGGCGTTGGCCATCAGGAGGAAAACTGCGTGGAGTTTGGATGCTTCGGATCTGTCGAAGAACTCCCCGAATTTGGACTAAATTCCCTTATATCGCCTGAATTTCGACCAATCATCGTCCAGTAACTCTTTCGTGAGAACGGACAAAAGGGGGATGAATGAGGGGTAACCATTTCCCATCTGAGCGAGATTTTTAACCAGATACGGAAAAACAGAGGATGTTCTCTTCTGTGAAAGGAAGTAGCATCTGTTATGCAGGCTGGTTTTTCCCATGTCTAAAACAATATTTTTTTCACAAAAACGAAGTAATATTTCGTGTCTATAATTTAATATTATTAATAAAAATTCACAAATTAGACCCAGGGCCTTTCGGATCTCACATTTGTATTTTACAATGGTTAAGGGTACAGGTGTGAAGGCGGCATTCGCCACAAAATATAAAAATGTCATGTACCTTGCTGAAATGTGACAATATTTCTTCTTTTTTCTGATATTCACTTAAACATAAACTACATTTAAATATTTTTAAAACTCTATCCTTGCTATAATTTTTTTCTCACTCATGTGTTTGCTTAAACTTTGTTTATATTTATATTTTAAGTGGCATATAGTGCATTCCATTTTAATCAAGACTGAACAAAGATAAGACCCACATGTAACTATGACCCGAAACTTACAAATCCAATTCCCGTGACTGGCGCTGTTCACCATAGCGGCATAATTTAGAACTAAGATTTACCAGTGCTCTAGACTTTTGTCAGTGAGATGGAACACTGTCTTGTTGGAAAATGCATTGTTGAAGATCTAGTTGGGGAAAGCATATTTCTCAAAATATGTTGTTATAATTCTTACAAATAAATATTATACATAACAAAACCAACTGTCTTATGGTGTTATTTAATTAAAACTTAAAAATTACAAAATAAGCACACAAGCACTTTTGATAAAACAACTTATTGACATTCTTTCTATTCTGGACAACAATAACTTGTTTTATCAAAAGTGATTGTGTGCTTATTTTGTAATTTTTATTTATTAAATAATACCACAAGATGACTTTATGTTTTGTATAGCATAGTTCTTGTTAAATTTCTCTCCTGTCATTACCTATGTATGTAGCAATGATTTGTGTTATATAATGTTTGTAATTGTATTGTGTAGCAATGCTTTGTGTTATATTGTGGTGTGACGGGTTAATGAAAAACCGTATTATACAAGAATACACCACATATTAACACAAATTTCAACTAAATATCGAGGAAATCATTTATTTACAGTTAATCTCCAATTTAATTTTAATACATAATCTCGAAACCGTCCATGATACAAAATCATTCCTCCTTTCCTCTCTTTAACAAAGCTCGTCTACCCAATTGCACGTGCAGGTCCCGAAGCCGACCAGTACACAATCCATTGTGACCGTATTATAATAATACTTATAACTAACTAAATCTAAAATATAAACTAGTATAATCTAGGTTAGGGAAAAGTATAGAAATGTTAGGTTAGAAAGAAGTCCCCCTTATCTGTGCAACAAATTAAGCAATCTTCCGACGTACACTCCCTGACTGCATGGATTCGTTCCCTCGTCTTCCTCACATGGTTCTCCCCTCGCTTGCTTCTCCCAGAATGAATAATGAAAAGTAAAGTCCTCCTACGCTGCCTTGTCGGTTGTTACCCCCTTTTCAGCCCGAAACTAGCCAGAAAGTGCAAATAGGTCGGAAGAGTCAAAAGAGGAAAAATAGTGCGGGTTATTTAAGTAGAAGAGGAAAATATAGATGACATAGGGTATTATCGACTAAAACATACATATACATGGTGGGATACACCACAATATAATGTTTGTAATTGTATTGTGTAGCAGTGCTTTGTATTATATAACCTTTGTATTATTTTTCTAACAAATAAACAGCCATGACGTGGTGTCTCTATCAAGCCTGCCACTTTTTGGTTCGGTATGACTTTGAAACAGGCCAAAGCAGTTGTGTATGATTTTAAACTTACTTGTAAGGAATCCTACTCACTATCTGTGAACATGTAACTTGCAACGGTGATATATTTAACAGTTTTCAAGCATGTCAAGGTAATTACTGACCCTAACAGTTTGATCTAGAAAGAGAAAGTGCCCAATTACATGGTCATGAATACATTGTAAACATACATTGACCTTGGCTGTCCTTTATATATTCTCTGGAGAAAATAGAACTTTCTGACCTGCAGATATGCACATTTTGTTTATTCACTTTGCCATGTACATGAAAATTTTGCCTTATCTGAGAACATCATTTTTTCAAAAAACACATTATCAGTATCAATTGTATCTAGAATTGCTGTAGCAACCTCTGTAAACACTACTATTATCAGTTTCTGTAATATCTTGCAAAATTGAAGTTTATAAGGATACAAATTCAAACATTTACATTAAATGTAGTCAGCTTTAGTTCTAGGAATATTTAACTCACATTCTGTTTTCCTAGTACAATAGACTTGCTTGGACTTAGACTTACAGAAGTGTGCTGTGTATGAACAATGTTTTCATTGGAGGTTCTAGCCTACTATCCAATAGAACCAAAAGATACTAAACTGAAAAATTTTAAATATTGATTAAATTACAAGGACATTTTATTAACATATGTAAGACAATGGTAATGCAGATAGTTCAATAAATCATTTGCCATCATAAATGTTTTTAAAAACAACATTTTGAAGTTTGAAAAATAAATTAAAAATTTTTTTGTATTATTGGGGAGGGTTTAAGCCCCTACAATCCCCTATGGATCTGCCCCTGATATCAGCTCATTTCTTCTGATGCATGTTCTCTGTTGTTTTTAACTTTTTGTACCATGCATGACTAGTTGGATGAGATGGAAGTTATCTTCCATATCACATATGAAAGTTATACTAAACTTGAATATCAGATTGTGGTAAAAGAAATCATTCCATGCATTGTACTTTTTCTTGCAGGTTCAGGATGACTAACAGTAAACTAGAAAATTCATCAGATGGCAGTACATTATAGTGCCTCATTACTATCTACAGGTAACAAATAAAACTTTATGAGTTCCTTGTTTGAGAAAGATTTTCAGTAAATTAATATCTTTAATATCTCTTACAAAACACTTTTTATGTTCAATGAAAGTTGTAAAGATAATTTATAGACACCCTGTATATCAAATATTTTAATAATATAGAATTGTGGTACAATATACTTATTCATAAACATAAGGTGACCAATCATCCCACTTTAGGGAGGACAGTCCTTCTTTTGTAAGTTCTGTCCTCCCTCAAAATGTGTCCTCCTATATGTCCTCCTTTTCAATATTTGAAGAATAATCTGTAAATCTCTGTATTTGATCGATGCTGAGCCAATCCGTTGCGTGTGATGTGATGTGACGTGTTTATATTTGGCATGATGATTCATGAAGGCTGAGTACAGTGCGGTGAGACGTGATTATGAGATGCATGTGCTCCGCATGGAAGACCTTGAGAGAGTGTGCTGTGCACAAGTGGCTTTGTTTACTTCTTACCGAAACATGACATGGCACATACGCACGCAGTAGAGATTATTATAGTGTATTATTGTTGCAATGAATAAAATGTTTCTTTTATTTACTATATTTTTTCCTTCAATTTATTTGTGTCTTCCTTTTCATTGTAAAAAGCTGGTTACCTTAACAAGAATAAAAAAGTGAAAGCTATTATTTTAAAATTTTTATATTTCATTACATGTAACTAATTAACATCTCAACTAACTCATAAAGATGTTGAAACTTCTTAAATGTTTTTGAATGCTTTTATATTTATTGTCAAAGTATCATTATAGGTACTGTACTTCTTAAATGTTAGGATAGATTAAAAAATGCTTAGAAACATTAAGATTAAAAAAATAATTTTGAATTTATTTTTTGATCTATTAGTTATTTGCAAAAAGAATTAATTCTGAATATAAGTTTATTACTAGTTATTAATATCAATAACTAATTATCCAGGTTCATTACATTTGTTAAAACATACAATGTTTTCTAGGGTGCATTTTGGCATCTTAGAAGGCCTCTTCAGCTGGTTATTATTTATTATATATTTAACTTGGCCTGTGTCAACGTTAATAGGCAATAGGTTATATCTATCAACATTGATACCAGCATATTCACACAATCCATTCAAATTTAAAATAGCAGGATTTAGATTATTAATAAAAAAAGTGTACTCACACATCCAAAAATAAAAGGAGGGAGGAGGAACTGAACTGTAACAAAACTCTAGCTGCACAGCATGCATGACTAACAGAAGATTAATCTTATATTATCTTTTGTTATTTTTTCATTTTTTTTGTTTGTTGTGTATTTTCTGATTCACAATGAATAAGAAAGGAAAACAAAAGGCAGGTTTCATACAACAAAGTTTTATTCATACTTGAGTTAAACACATACATCATTTTATTATTCAAATAGTATAACTGAAATAAGTAAGATATTTTATTGGAAAAGTTGTTTTAGTATTATTAGCATTTCTATAATAGAAAATATGCTACATAAATTATTGAGGAAAAAATATTCATAGATGATTTCAATTTTGATTTGCCTCTTATTTTTTGTTATTAAATATCAATATATGAAATAACATGGTTAACATTATGTTATCTTAAGTTACAGTATATACTGTATTGCTATATATTTTACACATAAAGAATATGCATCTTAGCTAATTAATTCTATATTTATAGGTATAGTATTTCATTCATCAAGTAAAATATCCCAAGGTTAAAATGTACAATTTATTCAATTTATAGGTTTGCTGTATTTTTTCTTCTACATATGCAGAAGAAAGAATATAGCAAACCTATAATTAAGAAATAAAAAAAACAAAATTTAGAATTCCAATGGTTACTAACAAACAACATTGTAATCTATAATATAATCGAGACGGGTTGATAATAATAATAAGCGCACAGCCCAAATGGTTAGGAGTTGAAAGTTGAAATTTGGTACACAGTTAGAGTACATCACGAAAACGCACACTAAGAAGGGATTTTTCAAAATTCCCCCCGGGCAGAGATACAGGATTAAGGCTTCTATATACATTATGGATACGAGTCCAAACGGTTAGGAGTTGAAAGTTGAAATTTGGTACACAGTTAGAGTACATCACAAGAACACACATTAAGAAGGGATTTTTTGAAATTCCCCCCGGGGGAGAAAGACAGGATTAAGGCTTAACACTTCCATCAACAATGGAAGTGTTAAGTAACAATGGAAGTGTTACATAACAATGGAATTGTTAAGAGAAAGCGATGTGCAAGATTTACAGGCACAGATGCAGTTTTTTCGTTTTTGCGGGAAATCGAACATATTTTTAGAACCATCTAAAAATTCTCTAATTAGTCTGGAAACAAGGGGACCCAATTCTTGCATTCTGTGAAAACGGGTAAGGTTGACTGTAACGTAATAATCTTTATCTTAGTTATTGTTACTTTTGCCCGAGCAACGCCAGGCCCACCTGCTAGTTATAGGATAAAATTAATAACTGATGCTAAAATTTTATAATTTATAACTAATTTTAACTAATAATTGGTATCTGGAATAATAATTAAAAATGATAATTCATTCATTTTTTAAATCATTTATCATACAAACGATTTAAAGTCATTGTGATAATGATTATATCTACGAAATTATGATTTACAATTTATTAATGAAAGTTTAGTAATATTTTACATTTGCTTGCTGATTTGTTTAATTTATTCATATTATTCATTGCATAAGTTTTTAAATGGAATTCTTTTCACAAGTTACTATTTACTCCTTCCTTCTTATTAAAACCAAAAAAATTTAAAATGGCCTGAACAGCTATTGCTTCGGGTAGTTTTTTAATATTTTTATTTTATAAAGCAATATTTCTCACAATGTTAAGGGTAATTTCTTGATTCCTCACCCCGTCATCACTAGTAATCAGAAATCAAGTTACCTCTCCTCTAATTATGTCATTAAACCAGATGTTAAAATAATTCGTTATAACAATAAANATCTTTTCTATTTGTGAAAATTTATACATAATTCAAAGGTAATTTTTAATGTATTTTACACAACATTATTAATATTATGAATTTTGGAGGTTGCAGAACATTTAAATTACTTTAGAAAATGAAAAATAATTATATCATTTGATTTTAACACATTCTTTATGCCACGGGATTTCCCGGGATCTCGGGAAACAGTTCACTTTTATCCCGGAATTCCGGGACAAGCAAAAGACCGGGAAATGAGAAACCCTAGGCCAGACCCACAATGGGGCGGCCGCTTGGTGAGGGACAGGGCCCGAAATATTCGGGACTGACCTCCCACAAAAAGTTTCGGTGGAGTTGCTCATCCAGATTTTATCACGGATTCACAGAACGGTAGATTGATATATTATTAATCGCCTCTATCTTCCAGCTGACTGTATTGTGACATTCAGTTACGTTTGATTTCATTCACTCTTGTTTCCCAGGAGGGTAAATGTCGGCTTTCGGTTAGTGACATCCATTATTTTTGAACACAATAAAATCATTCTAAATTATCGTATAATTAAACGAAATAATTCTCATAATGATTTTAGTATTAAAAATTATTCATAAAACTTGCACATTCTTTTTTATATTTAAATATTCCATTCGACTTTAGTTTGTATTCAAAATGAGGTAAGGCTTGTTAAAGAATATAAAATTGATTTATGCACAAAATTTATCTAGAACTTAAGTGTTTCCGAAAGTTCCGTTTAAATATGTTGTAAATATATCTACAGAATTTTTCAAAAGGACATGAATGCATATGCCCTGTATATATAGAATGATTTAAAATTATGGTTGAAAGTACCGTATTTAGAATAGAAATGGTCACATGTAAAATTATGGCTGAATGCAAGTAAATCTTTTCTGATACCAATTTAATTTATACAGAAAAAGTTCGTTATTAAATAAAATTAATTAATTACCAAAGATTATTATTTAACTATGAATTATAATTGGTACTGTAAGCAGCACAAATTGTAATTGGTAATTGCATATTGACATAAAATATAAAATGATAGTACTATAACAACTGAAAATTTAAAAAAATAAATAAATAATAGAAATTTAGAAGCATTATTTATAAATGTAGTGTCTGCAAAGTTTCTATGCATGCTAGTTAAAAGATATCTGTCAGCTCCTATCCATTCTCTGTATAAGTTTTCATTTTGTTAACGCAATCCTTGATAGCTATTTTAGATCTTCATTGATTCAACTGTGGTTAAAAATGCAGTTCTGAATGAGGCAGTTGGGAATTTATCAGAACTGTAGACCATACCCATAGCAATAGAAAAGTCAAAGGAATTTATGATCTACATGTGATCCTTTATGAGATATGGTTCTCAAAAATGGAGTAAAATTTAAAAGTGAAAAAATCCAAAACTATTTCTCAAAACAGTGCTAAAAACAAACTGTTTTTCACTTTACTAGAGATGGTTAAAACCTTAAAGAAATGCCATTGCACCAACTACTTCTGGACAAGAACATCACCAGCCAATGGGCCAGGGGGGCAAGATGATATAAATTGATAGAGGATATGAATTTCATGCAGGTAAAATAAAAACAATTCATAAAGTTTTAATCATTGACTATGTACTGGAGAAGAAATATCTTAATTAAAACATTTTTTTTTTTAAAACTTACAAGAAGCCTAAGATGANACAAACTTAGATTTTAGTTCTAAAGAATAATAATATTTTTAAAACTATTTTATATATTAGATAATGAATTACGAAATAAAATAACAAGAATAAATGAAAATATCAAGATTCTTTCTGAATGGTTACCAGTAACTCTAAACTCTTTTACTGTTATTGAAGGTAATGATGTATTGTTTTGTTTGTAAATGTTATGGAGTTCAAATATATTTTTAATATCATAAATATATTAACTCAAAATAATGTGCACTTACATATTGTCTGTGAGAACTGTGATTGATCTCAGATCTGTGAGAAACACAATCTCAAATGAAGTATTTACACTTTATTTATAGTTTATAAACATAGCTGCAAGATACATATTGAAGTCCCTACTCCCTACTTTTAATCTAATGGCCAGAATTTACATTAGATACAAATCTCTAACTCAAGCTGCTTTCTTACTGGCATGGCTGAGATGAGACCCTGACTCCTTCAAACTGCTCAAGATCTCTCTCAGAAGAGCTTTCTTACTAGGATGACTAAAGAGTCTCTGACTCAATTCATCTCCTTGATCAAATGAGATCTTCCTCTCTGGCCCAAAAACTCTGCAATCTTTTTTTTCTTCCCCTTTTATTCCAATGCAACCCCTTACTATCAGACAAACCAATCCAAATCCTGAATAGATGACAGCGGATCAAAAAATTACTTTCCTATGGTCAAAGATGCAGGCTACTACCACCATTCTCTACTTTATGGTTAAAGTCAGGGACCATAAAACTAGGTTCAATAAATTATTGGTCCACTTTTTGTTTTTATAGGCCTAACAATTGATAAAGTTAGGCATAATTAACTATATCAAAAAAATTGGGTGGCCAGACCATAATTGGATTCCCAATCTTGACATATTAAATTTATAACAAAATCAAATTTGAAAAGCTGTAAAGAATTTTAATTATTTCAATTCTTCAAATAGTGATCAATCATACAGAGAATATTTATTAAAGAATGTATTGAAATGGATATCTCTTGCTGTAGCCATAGACCAATTGGCTGAAACCATGGCATAACTTTAAAAAATATATACTGTATATTTGAATGGTGAACATGCTTGCAATGCAATTCAATCTTGGAATTCTCCCATGTTGGATTGTTTGAGCCAGCTGTTCTTATTTTTTGTTCTTCATGATAATTTGTTTTAGTTAATTTTAATTATTTTAATTTTCTCTGTTTCTTTTCTGTGTAATATCTATGTCTGGTAAATAAAGTGTTTGTCTGAACTTTGTTTTTGTTTTTTTCCATGACAATATACAGTTAATCATAATTAAGGTACTCCATTCAATGCTTGTCTAGAAAAATATTTAGCAGTCCAAATGTAACCAAATTTGATATGGTGATATTTCAGGACGTATGGAAGACATTTCCATAAAAAGAAATAAATTACTATTAAAATTCATCACTATGGCACTTTTGGCACTGCAAGCAACAAACATTTTATTTGTACAAAATACTCATGATATACAAAGATACTGCTCAATGTGGTTTCTATTCTGAAGTGTTAAAACCAGAAGGCAATGAGGCCAACATAGTTGATCTTCTGTGATGCTTCTGACATGCAATTTTGTTACTGACTTTCAAGGTTGCCAAATTTACAGAAATTCATTTATGGTAATACCTTGACTTACGCTACCCCGACTTACACAAACCCACAGTTACGTGATTTTCAAATCTTGTCGATTCGTCTTTTGTTTGAGTGCCACACAGCTCTTGATTACTCACTCCCCCCCACTATTGTTCAGCTTACATGTTCGGACGTGTCGCGTGGAATTGACACATAGCTATAATTTATTTTGTGTTATTTATTTTTGTGTTTGTTATATCTATGGAGACTTGAGAGGCTCTGTGTGGTGATTTCTTGTAACTGTGAATGAATCAAAAGACGAGATAAGATTAACAAGAACATTTATTAGCTTACATACATTTGACTTAGATTTTACACAAATTGTGAAATTATACCCCAACTTACGCGATTATTGCTCGGTCCCACCTATCGCGTAAGTTCAGGGTATTACTGTATAAACAACTTTTTAAATATCCCCTCAACCAAAAATCACATAAATTAGGATCTGGAGAACAAGGTAATCAACTGATAGGAAAAGTATGACTACTTGCTTTGTTATTGGTAAAATGTCATTGTAGAAACTGCTGTACACAGTGTCCAATATATGAAGGTGCTGTATCTTATATGAAAGTAATTGACTCCAAGTATTGTCACTGTGGCAGTTGGGATATAAAAAAAGTGTTAAACATCACTTGGTATCTGATGTATCTATCAAAGAGCATGTCACAGGCCTGTTGGGACTAGTTTCTTTGAAGAAGAGTGGTTCAAGGATAAACAAAGTTGTGAACAGTGGCACGTTATCCTATGAGCAAAAAGGGCAATTGCTTGAGACCCCACCAACAAGGGTCCCCAAACCAATTTTTTATAAGAAAATATTTCCCTAAAAAATTTCCCAAAAGAAAAATGTCTGAAATCAACACAGTACATGGGACCTCCTAATTCAAATTGGCATAGGCCCTATGAAGCTATAACATGCCATTGGTTGTGAATCCAAACCAGACTGTAACTTCAGGTGAGTGCAGTAAATCTGCTGGAAAACACGAGGGTTCTCTATGGCCCTTATGTAAAATTATGGATATTTACTGTTTTATTAATGTGAAAATACACCTCATCACTCCACAGGATCTTCCATGATAGATCCACTTTTATTCTTACGAGTAAGGTTAATGCAAAGATCAATTGGATTTCACCATTGATGACAAGTAACTGCTGATTGTAGCTGATCTTATAGTGATAACAATACATCAATTTTCTAAGTATCGTATCTTTGACACTGTGACACTGTGCCATAGGATACACCCAAATCAGTAATAGCTATGGTAAGATCTTCAATGACTTCTGAAATTTTAGGTTTATACCCTTGACTAGGTTGAAATCCTATGCATCCAGTTTCTAGGTTGCATCCTATGGTTCTAAGCATTTTCTTATGGCAATGAAATTTCTGAAATGCAGCTGCAGCATTGCCATCATTTTCATGGAACAGGCTTTACACAAGGCATATTCTTGCAAGGTGATGGCCATAGTAATTGATACAAATGACATTCACAGTTGTGGCCTATTTTATACCCAGAATTGGCTGCAACACATATGATGATACAAAGGAAATTGTTTTTCATTGCTTGTTGCACCAATGTGCCATAGTGATGATTTCTAGAACTAATTTTTTTTATCTATAATGTAACTCTACCAGATTTTAGTTGCATTTAGATTGCTAAATATCTCTCCAGATTTGAATAGTAGTAGTTTAATTATGATTACTGGATATTTCATTTATTATAATACTCAAATTGAGTATAATAATGATGTGATATTTTATTGTGTAGAAACTACTCTTCTTTATCATTATCATACTTTCATATTTATAAATTACAGAGTAACTTAAAATATTTAAAAAATAATAATTAATTTTATTTTTTCTAAATATTTATTTAACTATTGTATTTATAAAATTTTAAAAATTATCTGAGTGCTATTTAGCAAAATGAGTTCTCTCTCTCTCTCTCTGAAGTATCTTTTAGGATAATATGTTCTTCTATCTTCCTCTCAGTTCCTTACATCAAATTTTGGTTTTATTTTAGACTTTTATTGTGGGTGTGCCTCAATTTAAACAGACTAATGAGTGCAATTATATAGATTATGACAAAACAAGATTTTATTTATAAACAATGTTATAATACATACAGAAGGATATTGGATATAGAAGATAGTGCAATGACACAACAATTCTACATATACATATAACAGATAAAAAAGATAGTGCAGTGATGCTGTGGTGGTGTGGAGGACAAATAAATGGATTACAAAGAAGTAACTATAAATTAAACAGGATTTTATTTAAACACGGTTACATGGTCCTTCTTACACCTGGTTCTTTTACACTTTACACACTTGATCCCAAAGTATAGTATGCACATAAGTTCAACACCGTCCGACATATTCTTTATATTTTCACAGGCAGGAGACACGTGTTCGTGACAATGCAAAATTATGGTTTGAGAGATATTACAACTAACTTAAATCTACCTTAATCTAACTTATATACTAAGGAAGAAGGGTGAAGAAAATAAGATATATGAAGAGAAGAGACAAGTATAAAGGACAGATTTGTGGGGGGTACCCGGGTAAATTTGGCAGTCTCTGATCTTCTCTATATTGGAACTTGAGTCAATTTCCTTCCTCTCGTTTCTGTTTCTCGAGAATTCAAAGCGTTCTTGAAGCCTTAATCTGGATGTCTTTCTAATTTTGTCCGCTCACAGACAACTTCCAAGCCTTTCTCCTTTTGTCCCACTAGGCGACAAACTTTGGCTTGTTCTTTCCTACGTCTCTTCACCTCGGACACTGACCCAAAAGTGTCTTGTTCGTTTTTACTGATGGCCTCAGGGCTTCTTAGTATCCCCTTTGTCTTCTCCCTTCGTCCTTGGACAAAGGTTGTCCCCCACCCATAGAAAAAGAATAGGTTAGAAAGTTCTAGAAACAGACGTTAAAGACAAAGGAATTTAGGAGAAATAAAACTTATATCTACCCCTATGTACAAAGACATGGCGTACCACCCCTATGTACAAAGACATGGTGTACCACCACAATGCACCATTCCTTTCATCTTATAGACTAATTTAAAAGTAACAGAACCTAACTTAGAATATTAAGGGAAGAGAACAAGAGATATTAAGTAGAGTGCACATAACATTAAAAGTTTAGAGTGCTCAAATAATGGATCCTTATCATGTTATATTGTTTGTGGCAGTATGCCATGTATTTTGTATATAGTTTATATTTTATTTTAATTAGCTTTATTTTTCTTTCTATGTTCTTTTCTTTCCCCCTTTTTTCCTTCTTTCTTCATTCTATGGTCTACCCTCTACAAAGAGTCACTCCCCGAAATTCCTTTAATTATTGGCTATTGAAAACATCCTAAAACAAGGGGAGGGGTGAGGTAAGAGGAGAAGTAAGGGGGACGAGAGGGAGGAATGAAGTGAGAAGGAGTGGGAGAAGGTTTTTGGAGTGTACATACATGAGACGAAAAGAGAGTCTGAGAGACAGTCAAAGAAATATCCGTGATAGACCACGGAATTTAAGAATGAATCTTCACATCGTAACCGCTGATAGTTGTGTGACTCAAAGGAAAAAAGGGAGATCCTTCCAACTTTCTGTAAGACCCTCACTAAGGACATTGCAAAGAGAAACGATCTTCGAAGGCCTTACATACTAGCATTGGGTACCCCTTTTCTGAGTTCTAACTTTCCTTTACCTATCCCCTATCTTCTTACCTTAGTTAATATTAGTTTAAGTCTTATTTGTTATTAGTGTTTAAGATAGATTTAGACTTTTACATGATAATTTTCAATAACGGTTCTTTATGTCGCGTCCAATGATTCGGGATTTTGTTTGTGTAACCTTGTTCGCGATTCTGATTGTTTCTAACTGTCGGGACATAAAGTTAGCACTGGCATCCTAAAGAAGCCTGTAGTTAAGCTTATGACCTTAATTAAAGTTGTCCTTTTTGTCATACTTTGATTCAATGTGTCTTCCTTAAAGATGAAAACTACATACTTTCACATGTTGCATCTTGAGACTTGTAGCTTCACTCCTTTGTTATTTAATGACATTACAGTTTTCAGTCTAACCAGGTTGGTACACTTGTAAATTAATGATCTTAACTGATTTTACACTTTTACATGAGAACTTCTAGAGGGAAATGGATTACATTTCTTGTTACTAAAAACTGTCCTTGCAATCTTGTCTGTAAGTTGCCAACTTGGTGGAGATTGGGGACTCAAAATCCCACTTCTTGGACATCAGTGTAAGAAGCTGACTTTTAGGGGAAATCAGTTAATTTCTCATCAGAGATGGTTTAGGGTCCTTTCATATGTGGATGGTGGTGGAAGAGACAAAGAAGACAAGTGTCTAACAAAAACTGTTTATTTTAACATAAAATAACTTACACTATGAACAAACTAGTTCGCTTTAAAACAATCAGCTGTTCAGATGTCTTGAGCATTGATGTCGTTTTCTTGATTGTCAATCAAAGGTGGCCCCGGGCAGTAGCGTTGACAAGTTCATAAGGCAGGTGGGGAGACTGTTGGTTGGTGTCAGCGACACAGTCTGAGTCTGTAGTGGCATGGGTTACAGGTTGGCACAATAGACGAGAAACTGCTTTTTGCGTGTTGACACATGGTGTCTTGGTTAATTGGAATGTTAACTAACCAAGTGCAATGACTTACTGAGTGCGAGGTGTCCCTGATTGTCGGAGATTATATCAATCTCTTTCTTTCTTTTTGTCCATTTTGATTGGTCATTCTCCCTCAATCATGCTTTCCAGATAGCTATACCTTGTTACTAACAGTAAGTGTAATGGGACTCCCACCTGGAGTGCGAGAAAAGTCAAAATCGAAGCTGAATTTGATCTCTCACTGATCATAGAACAACATTTCTTCTCTGATTTATGGTTTATGTGTTGCAGTTTGATATAAACAAAAGGTGTTGGACTACAAACATTTTTTTCTTGCCTTTTTAAACAATTACATTTTGTTTATATCAAATTAACCATTTTTCATGAATTTTGTGATGTCCCAGACAGCTCCAAACCATCATGAAATTCACGAAAAATGGTTAATTTAGAGAAAAGAAATATAATTGTTTAAAAAGGCAAGAAAAAAATGGTTGTAGTCCAACATTTTTTGTTTATATCACACATGTCTCGCACTTTCTTTTCCAGACTGAACTCATAAAAACCATCCTTTTCTTGCTCCTTCCTTTTTATACCCTTTGGGGCTCCTTAACAGTCAAATATGATGTGTGATAACAGCTATTGTAAACACATGCCTCTCAAAGTAGTCTGAAAAGCACAAAAAAGGGGGAGAGAGAAAAAAAATTGCAGATATGACATAGGAAATTAACTATGCTAATTAGTGTAGTAACTACATGCACATACAACATACATATCACAGTATTTCATTTCTAGAAAAACAAAAGTGATGGATATTGTGGGAATTAACTAATATCTAATCTAGTCAATCTGAAGAACTGATATTTTGTTGAAGTTGAATTAGCTAATTTTCTTAAGGATTATACTTTTTGATACTGATTAAAATTTTGGCTAAATATTATAATTTCAAAAGTTAAAACAAAAAATGTATAATTCTAATCTCTCATTTGTATATTTGCCTATATTAAATTATTGATTAGTAATAGTTTATATAATTTTTAAAACAATATTAAAAATAAGTTTCACATAGATCCTTTAAATTTTCAGCTGCAAAGAATAAAGCATCTTTAATTTCAAAAATAAAACTGAATATTGATTTGTTAAAGCTTCAAGAAAAAAATATGTAAGTTATTAAACTTCTTATAAAATTAAATACAGTTTAGTTAATCATATTGTATATTATTAATATAATTAATATTCAAAGACATAGAACTAATTTGTGTAATAATAATATACTGAATTTATTGTTAATTTAAATAATAGCTAGAAACGCCCCTAGTGGCTGTTCTAGGCTTTCTAGTTCTGTACAGATTACAGATATACAAACATGCACTCAATGGCTTATATTCTTAGATAACTAAATAAAATAATATACAAAAATTCAGCTTGCTTAAAATTTTTCCACAGAAAAACCTAAAGTGAGTGTATACAGAAGAATTAAAAGTGAAAATCATAAAAAAAAATGTGATGATTTCTTAATAATATTTGCATTTATCATTGATTGTCTATTTGGACACAACTTATTATTAGGACTTTATACTGGTGTTTTTGGATCAATATCCAATATTGATCCAAAAACACCAGTATAAAGTCCTAATAATAAATTGTGTCCAAGTAGATAATCAATGATAAATTAGAATTAAGGACTATAAGGCAACTATAAATATTTGTATTTGTTTGCTTTTTTATTTTTGGCCCTTTGTTGTTTTTTCATGCCCATTATGGGTTTGACTAGGCCCACAATGGAATAACTGGGTAGTGAGGGATGGAATCTGACATATCTGAGACAGATCACTCCTGAAAAATTCTTATGGTTGAATTCAGGTGATCAAAAAAGATCACCCTAAGAATTTCTGGTTCCTCCTGAGTATTAGGTCTATGATTGAACAGCTAAATCTTATAGATATAGCTGTTCAATCATTATTTTCAATTAACAATAAAATTATATTAAAATACTTAATAATAATAATTTTTAATAGTTAAATTTATTTGTTAGAATAAATAGACTTACTATTGAAGAAAAGTTGTTGTACAAAGAATTATTAGATTTGGATAAAAAATTTGATTCCTGGAAAATAAATAGTAATATCAGAAATAGTAACAAAGTGATAAATTATAAAGCTTCATTTTTTAATAATAGACTTACAGATTTTCCACCAGAACTTACAGAATTTGAGGTAAATATAATTTTTCATTATATGAAAATTAATTAATGATAATGTACTGTACATGATAGATTTGTTCAATTGTTTATTGCAATTTTATCTTTAAATACCTAAAATTGTTTTCAAATATAAAGAAATAATATCAGGATAGATGATGATTGCATCTAAGCATTGCATTATCTATATTTTATATTACTAGCTGCATCATATTTTACAAGTTTCCATGATTAATGGTTTTGTATTAATTTCGTATTAATACGATGTAGTTACATTATTTATTATTATATAATAAATTATCCTGAAGTAATATAGATAAAGTCATATATCATTTAAATTTCTAGGCAAAGATTAATTTTTTTATAAACAATATTAATATTCAAAATCAGACATAATATTAACATCAAGAACTTAGCTCAAATGTCTATTACAAGCAGAAAATGGTAAAAAAACTTACTATAATTATTAACTTTTGATTTACACACAGATCAAAGCATTTTCTGAATTGTTAAAACCATCAATTTATAATTTGATATGAACTTATGTTTGATATATTTCTGGTAATATAGATTATTCATAAAGTCTGCCAACTCAAACTTTGAAAAATTATTGCAGGAAAATGAGTGACAACATGGTGTCATAATTTTGTATGCCAGCTGGTTTCAGCAGGAGGGTGCTACATGCCTCATTGCTAGGGAGATGATAATGGCAATGCTATGGGAATTTTTGGAGACTATAATTTTCCAAGATTTATGGCAAAAAAAGATCTTCAGACACTTGACATCCTGTGACTTTTTTCTTGAAGGACAGAGCATATAGAAATCTTCATACTGTAGAGGAACTGAAACATAACATTACAGAAACAATTTGGTTAATTACACCTGAAAGGCTTCTGTATGTGTGGATACAGTAGCCTTTCAGTTTGATTAACTATTAGCATACTGTTATTAATTTGTTTTTTATTGTTATAATATTTAAAGAGTTAAATATTTTATATTTTTGAAGATCAGAATTTGACACAAAAGGTGTTGGACTACAAACATTTTTTTCTTGCCTTTTTAAACAATTACATTTTGTTTATATCAAATTAACCATTTTTCATGAATTTTGTGATGTCCCNACAGGAAGATAGGAAAAAATTTTTTGATCCTTAAAATTGAAAACCTTAGGAATTCTAATTTCTTTCTAAAATTCAAAAATGTTAATAGATAAATAATTATAGCATAAATACAGAATATAAAAAAATAAATTAAATATTTTATTTTATTTATAAAGTTATATTATTTTTATAAAGTTAATTTGTTGATTCTTCTTGCAGATTGCTTCATATATTATAAACCATAAATAATTATGATATTTTTAAAAATATTATTTTATATCAGGAATTTATTATGTGCTCTGGACCAACAGGTGGATGGGAAGAGTATGATCATAAACTTTTCTTGAAGTATAGAAATAAATTTCAGGTTGGAATCAATATAATAGAATTTTTATTAATAAAATTATAATGGAATTGTAGAACATTTTGGTACAAATGACTTCATATCAGATAAAATACAAAACCCAAAAGTAAGGGCTTCATAAGTTAGAGGAGTCATAAAAGTATTTAAGTATTAGGAATTTTTAGATTTATTCTTAAGCTTGTAAGAGATTGTGATTAATTGGTTAGTTACATGAAAAAAAGAACAAAGATTACACAACTTATCTAACAGAAGGTCAGCACTAGGAAAAGGAAAGTAAAAGGAGGTTAGTGTGATCAATGGTTTCTTAAGAGGTTGTTGTTGCTAGCACCACCAACCTTTTATTACGTAATACAGAAACTTGTTACAAAATTAGCACAACATAATATACTATACATGTAGACATTACAGTCACCATTGGCTTTAGTCATATCCGTTCAATAATTGATTGTTAATATAATCCAATAGCAAAAGTAAATTTCTTAATCTTATTTGCATCAAATGATTTGGTTAACAAGTCAGCTGTTATCAGTTCACTTGGACAATAGATTATGTTAATTTCTCCTGACTTCTTTAAATCACATACAAAATGATATTTTGTGGCAATATGTTTTGTGCACTGTTTTCTAATTCTATAAATTGAATACAGCTTTGATTGTCCTCAAATATTTTAATAGGTGTTGTAATTGGTAGATTTATCTTTCTAGAAGTTGTTTCATCCATTTAGTTTTTTGGGTAGCTTCAGCCAGGGACTACACACACTGCTTTGGTGGACAAAAGTACTACAGTGGGTGATCGGTTAACGAACAGATCGGATAACGAACAAATCGGATAACGAACACTTTTGTGAAAGATTTTTATGTTCAGACAACGAACACATGATCGGATAACGAACACCCCACAGAACAAACACAAGAAGAAGCGACGTAAAATAATGAATACCGATTGGTCTTCCCTTGTCTTCAGGCAACAACTTGAAACTCTTTGGAGCGCGGAAGACGTAAACATCGACGCTCAATCTGGTATATACTGATCAGATAGTATTCCTCCAAACTTTAAAACTCTCCCTTGTAATTCCAGCCTTTTATTTTTCTGAGAAAATAATTCTTTTATGTATTCGCGAGACTGTCGGGTAGACACTCGTTAAGTTTTGTGTCTGTTTTTTTCTTTTCGAAAGGTGAGAGAGTATAATAGCAAAGGTAGAGAGTGAGCAGAAGATGCCTAATGTTGCTGGGCAATACGGCGTGAACAGGTCTATAGTAGGCCGCAGTTCAATCTTATTTAAGAAAAATACTGTATAATCAAGAAGACTCAAGCAGCTAAAGGAGTAACAAAAATCACATCTGAGAAATAAAGAACATCGAAGAGTTCATAATGGAACCTGAAACGGATCTGACGACAGAAGAACGCCAAAAACTCTTGAATGAAAAACACCAAGAAACTCGGCGAGATATGTTTTCTTCTAAAAAAAGAGGATTAATGCCGATATCTGTTATTAAAGATCTTTTGAAGAAGTGAGAGGATGTCAGAACAACGGTCTTAGAATGACATCCAAACCAGGTTGAGGCTTGGGGATTTCTACAATTGCAATGCTGTTAATTACTTACGAAAAATCTTGAAGAAGAGAGAAAAGCAATCGACATTAGACAGATTCTTTAACCCTTTCAAAC